GGTCTAATTCATTCCATTTAGAGGAATTTGCACCTTTTTACTAAGTACTCGTACGTTTCCCGCTTCAGTTTCACATTTTTAAAGGTTTCCTCGATCAACGGGTATGTTGACAACCTACCCGAACGCTTTCTTTACAAGTTTTGAAAAGGATAGCCATTTCTTTCTCATAAACTCCTATAACTCATAAAAGATAATTTTTTTGTGAAAACACCTTTACATATCAATTCGTCTATTGTGAGGGCTGCTCCTGTTTCAAAAATTACTATTTTTGAAGAAAACCAACTCTTACATAATAATCCTTAATTTTTGTGGTACGTTAGATATTTTTTGTGTCCTCTTGTTTCAAAGCTTTGTTTTCCGTAATCAAATGTGAAATGAGTCCAGAAACTTAATCATTTCTCTGTAAAATATCACTAAAAATTGGTTGGTGGAACTAAGTTGCTTGCAATGACGACGCTACGGCATTGGGACGCCGACATTAGGACGCGGACATTAGGAAGCGGACAAGGGGACGCGGGCATTGGGACGTGGACATATAATTAAATTGTGAGGAGGTCAAGAAAGTGTAAGAATCTCCAACTAACAGGACAACAAGGGCGTAAAGATAAGTGGTACAATTGATACTTGATACCTAGAATTTAAGGCTAAAATTAAATTGCATTAAAGGGGAAAAGATAGAATGGAGGGGTGCAAGTCACGGGGAGTAATTAACCAGGTTGATTTGGATAAACAGGGGAATTTCGAAAGGTAGCACTTATACGTACCCGCAAATATACCTACTTCGAGGGGGCGGAAAAAATTGGACCTTTACGAAGGGAAACATAAACTTGCCAATCGTTGAAATACAAGTACCCTAATCCATTAATTCCCACTGCGGACGACACATCTTTGTATACATACGAGAGGAACCTTTAAGTTCCTAATAACGCGTTTCGGGTCATAGTCCAGGCTATATAATATTTTTTTACAAAAAAAATAGTTACCGGTTTAAACCGGGTTTTTCATGCTGGTGAAATGATTAGAAATTGGGGAAAAATAATTAAAACAGCTGAATTTTTCCGCGGGTGAAATCCCGGGGGTTGAAAGGGGTGGAAAGTTGTGTTTTGCGAATTGTGGCAAAACTATTAATTTTAGGCGAAAATGTTCAATGTAAAAGTTATAGAGAATAAAGAAACGAACAACTTTTGTATCTGCACTATTTACACATAACCTCCAATTTTCCTAGAAAAACCGGAAAAATCTTTTTTTTCGATTTTTATTCTTATTTTTACGAAGAAAAGTCCGAGGAAAAGTCGTAGGGGTTTGAAATTTGGAGTAAAAATAGCTTGTTTTATGATAAAAAAGGAGACTTTTTTTGGGCCCCTAAAGTTGAACCGTTTCCGAGATCTCACGATTTCTGAAAAAAACACCTCTTTTTCAAGGGGATGAAAAATCTATTTTTTTCATCGTACAAAGGTGCGCGGGGTAGCAAGGTTTTCTAGAAGACTTATATTTTAATAAGCAAACATAAAAAAATATTATTGCTATAACAAAAATTCAAGAAAATCGCCAAAAACTGGAAAAACAGTTTTAAGATATACATGGTTTTTGACAGGATCAATCAACGTGTTGGATGTTAATAAAGATTTTTTTACTGGCCAAAGCAAATGATTTGAGATGTAAAACCTGATTTTATTCATAATTCCTGTAAATTAACGATCAACAGGCCCAGCGTAATCCCATCAGCTGTAAAATAGGCAGGAAGAAAAGTTAGTGAACAAAGACAAATTGTTCAGGAAGCAAAAGAATTTGATTTTACTTCGAATTGCTTTTATTGCGGAAAATGCACAAAAAAGAAATAATAAAGATGTTTTAATTAAGGCAGTTGGGCACTAGGAAACAGAAGAAAATATTTTAGCAACATTAAAGAGGAGAGAGGAGACAGATTTCAAAAATTTTTTATTAGCGCGGATCCAATACGTTAATTTGGTTGCAAAAAAAGCCTACTATGTCAACAAGTTAAAAAGTAATCGTAAACGATTTACATAAAGCGCATTTCCACTTGCATTCATTTCCCATTTGTAAGATGCAACTTTTGTTAAAATCGTAAAAATCCGGCCACAAATATGAAAGATAGCGTTGCACATGGGCAATCCATTTTTGACGTGCTACTTCAATTTCAGTTTATGAGAAGAATTTCATTTCAATGTTTTTCTAAATAAGAAAGTTGGAACTGCGCATGCGCAAACCTAAATTTTGAAACTAATGTTAGATTTTCCTTTGTTCCAAGCGCTAAAGTATCAAATTTCACTTAAATGCTTCCATAGATAAAAAAAGTTGGCACTGCGCATGGGCAAAATAAAATTTTTAAACTGGCGCTAGATTTTCCTTTATTCTAAGTGCCTATGTATCACATTTCATTTAAATTCTTCCATAAATAAAAAAGTTGGCACTGCGCATGCGCAAAGCCAAATTTTGAAACTGGCGTTTGATTTTCCTTTATCTCAAGTGCCTATGTATCAAATTTCGTTTAAATTCTTCCATAAATAAAAAAGTTGGCACTGCGCATGCGCAAAATCAAATTTTGAAATTGGCGTTTGATTTTCCTTTATCCAAAGTGCCTATGTATCAAATTTCGTTTAAATTCTTCCATAAATAAAAAAGTTGGCACTGCGCATGCGCAAAACCAAATTTTGAAATTGGCGTTTGATTTTCCTTTATCCCAAGTGCCTATGTATCAAATTTCGTTTAAATTCTTCCATAAATAAAAAAGTTGGCACTGCGCATGCGCAAAACCAAATTTTGAAATTGGTGTTTGATATTCCTTTATTCCAAGTGCCTATGTATCAAATTTCATTCAAATACTTTTATAAGTAAAAAAGTTTGCAATTCGGTTTATGGTCGAGATGCGAAAAGGGCACTGTGAATTTTGAATCGATTCGATTCAACTTTTGGCATTGCGTATTATATGGCTAAAGCTATGCCCATATTGAATTTCATGCAATTCAGTTCATAACTAACGGAGATGTAAAAGCGATCGAACATTTCTAAACAAAGTTATCGTTCACACGGACAGATAGATGGACAGACAGACAAAGGAACAGACGGACAGACCAACAGGCAGACGACAGATAGCAATGCAAAATTATAAACGATCTCTAGGATCGTTAATAAACGGCAAAAGTGTAAAATTATGGAACATGTAAAAAACGGTTTTTTGTTTTTTTTACAATAACTTTTTTTGTAAGCGGTACAGAAAAAATTCCTTCCTTGGTACAAGACTCGACACCATAACGAACCAAATAGCGAAAAAAGTAGAACAATAGCTCTTAAGATAAAGAACTAGTAGCGTCGCAAAGTTAGCGGACGGACGGACGGACGGACGGACGGACGGATAAAGACACGACCTTAGACGAAACACTATTTTATATTTTAATAGACCTATTTGCAATGAGAAAAACTCATTATTAAATGAGAAAAATACCATAAACAAATAAAAAAATTAGTTAAGACCAAATTAAATAATAAAATGCAGCACAAGTTCCTTTGATTTCTTTAGAGTTTCCTTGATTTCCTCGGAGTTCCTGTGATTTCCTTGGAATTCCTCCTGAATACACATGGAATCCCTTGGAATTCTTAGCTTTCCTAGGAGTTCCTCCGGAATTCCTATGATTTCCCATAGATTTCCCCAAACGTGTACACTGATTTCCCATCGCGGTTTACCCCTCGGCAATTGTACAGTTAAGATACTCATTATTCATTACCATAGAGTAAATTTTTACTCTTCTTATTCAGTGTGTCTGTCTCTTCAAAGAGAATTTAATATGCTATTTTTAGATTAAAATATCCAGAGTGTGCCATTTAAAAAAATGAGATTAGATCCAATAAATTTTTACCCCATGATACTGTATATTTATTTTGAAAACGACAGATTATTCATCAATAAATTTCAAGAAACATTTTTTTGTTTCTGTTTTTACTAAGAATATATAGGGCCATTCTGAAATTGAAAATTGTTTGATTTATCTCCGTTGTAACGGAATATTTATTCATTGAATACATGGAATATTTTTTGACATTTTGTGCAGGTTACCGATGCAAAGAAAAACACTTTAATAACTGAATGATGATCATATAGCGGGCATCCTCAGAACTATAGCAGCTTGGGCCTTGGGCAGCATTCAGCAAAGGCAAGGGTATTACACCGTATCAAAAATGCTCAAATTTTGATTTTATCATTTTAAGTTTGACCCAAAAAGAGATCATAACGCCTATAAAAGTGTCGAAAATGAGACACTCTGTACATGAAAGACTATGTAAAATTCCAAAATGAAATTAAAAATGTGTTAAAAAAAAGTTGTTGGTTGTAACTTATTTTTTGGTCAACTTTGTATACATTGTAAAGATCACCTACCCCATTAATCATCTTCCAAGAAGGTAAGCATCGAGAACTGAGTCTATAACCTTATAACTATTTACTATAAGTTATTTCTGTTTTTAAAAAATGGTTTTATTTTCACAAGAGTTTTGCGATTTTTGTATTCTAAACATTTTTGCCAAATTTCGTTGAAATAACAAAGTTTAATAAGTTTTTCATTGAAAAATACAAAATTTCTCCGTCATCTTCGATTTTGACTGAATTCCCGGGGCGGGATTAATGGGGATTTTGAATATGTGTTAAAATAATATAATTTACAATAAAATCATTGAATTTATAAGTATCAATTCAATGATAAAATGACTCTAGGTACTTCGTCTTTATAAAAATTTAAAATCAAACATGTTTACAACAGGAATTTATGGCAAGTGAATAACATAACATATTTCCTCTATTGATGGAAGAAATTGTTGATGTAAAACTAGCTTTAGATCTGTGCTGAACGCTGAACTTTGCTTGCAATCTCGTATACTGGACCATACTGTATATTATAACAATCCCAAAGTTCATAGATAAAACGCGAGATAGTAATCTGCAAAAACTGCAATTATCGCCAGAAGCTTACGTAAGATGTCGGTGCCGCCGCACAAACAAATAGAAATGGTTGAATATAAATAGGTTGTGGTTTTGATGTGTGAGTGTGTGTGAAACTTCTGTTTTTTAATTTTATTTTATTTTCAAACAATTTATTTATTATTTAAAAATGAGTGAGTGGCGATCGGTTACCGACAATAGATGTTATGGAATAGGTACGAAAGCGTTACGCTTTTTTAGGCGCCTAAAGGTGACCAACTTCCCTTTAAATTATCATATTTACCAACAACTTTTGAGCATTTAAATTCGCGTATTTGTGAATCCGAAATTAAGATAAGTTTATTTAGAATATATGTAAGGGCCCCTCCCACATAATAGATAGAAAAATTATGATTTCCTGAACTTCCTCAAGGAAAGAAGTGAATCACAATTTTCCACATAGTTAACTCCGCTACTGTATGTGATCATAATAGTGATTACTGACTCATTATTAAAAATTGCGACTTTATGTAATAAATTAAAACATACACGGGAGCCTAATTATAGAGGCAATTATTTTTTTTATGTAGCCTGAAAAACTCACAAGCACAATACGTTTCGAATTTTACTCAGATTTATGGAATTACTTAAAATGTGTGCAATTCCACATAAAACCACAACTGATTATAACCATAACAGTCCACATTTTCCGTGGTCTGCAAAAAAATTCGAAACTCGGGCTATCTCATTTTAGAAGAATTTTAGATATCAAACCGTGCCCTACTGCTGGTGTTATCACAACATGCATAAGGAAGTAATTGAAGCATCCTTATTATTAGCAATAATTTAAAATGACACCCATAAATAACTCTGAAATTCTATTATCGACTGTCAGTTGATCATTAGGTCGAAAAATTAAATAAAAAGGTCAAACAAATAAAAATAGATTCTTTATTAATTCGTCATTGTCTAATTGCAGCAATCTATAATATCATCTCAAATGATGATTGTAAACTCAATCTCACTGTTGGTGAAACCGTTCACATACTCGAAGAGGAGGAGAATTGGTATTATGGGTACTCTACATCGGACCGTAGGGTACAAGGCATCTTTCCCAAATCGTATATACATATCACAGAATGCACGATCGACAGGAGCGGTCCTAATCTCGTTTTTATACCACAACAACCTTTAATTGTTCACGAAATCACGACGATTTTAAGAGAATGGGGTGCACATTGGAAGGATTTATACGTTGTAAGATTGGTCATTTGTGATTTCGTTTATATAACAACATTTGTAGATGCATAGTAGAGAGTTTGAACGGATGAAGAATCAAATTTACGATTTAATTAAGCATAGAAGTAAAATAATTAGTGGCACACTACCGGTTGATGAACTGAAACGTATGACGAAACAGATCACTTCGGAAATAGATATGGGCAACAAACTGTTGGGACTCGATATGATTGTACGAGATAAAGACGGTAACTTAATTGATCCTGAGAAAACTAGTACAATACAATTGTATTATCATCACAAGAATGCGGCAGAACGTATTAGGGACAAAAGGAATAAAGTGGTAAGTAATTTCAATTCTTTTTAGTTAGTGTTCGCCTTATTTGCATCAAATTTGTAGAGTGAACACAGGGACAGTCCGGCACGGACCGCTCTTCAACAGTATTCACACATTTTTGTTGTGGCGGTCAAGAACTTTACTTGTAAAATGACAGAGGATGCAGAATTACTTATGACGTTATACGATGCAAAGGAGAATAAGGCAATTACGGAAAATTATGTCGTTCGATGGTCCAAGGATGGGCTTATGAGTGATTTAGATCAGATGTACACTCTTAGAGTTATGTTTACGGTAGGTATTTAATAATAATAATAATAATATTTATTGGTGGGGTTTATTTGATGTAATAGCTACAAGATCTCTTTAGTGTATGCAAGTAGGTATTTGGTTGATTTGTCTGTTTACACAATACAGGGTGTCCCAGAACTGATTTAATTTAAGGTGACTTCTCACGAATCGAGTATAGTTGATCAACAAAAATTAATTACAACTGGATCAACTATAAAGTTGATCAAATGTATTGAAACAAAAGTTCATTTGACCTTTGTTAATCAACCGCTTTTTAAATAGTTGCATACTTTCCGAATTTACATTTTAACAATTCAAAATTGTTATTTTTTAATTACAAGTGTTCTTGTTCGCACATGCATGTTTTTATTGATTGACAGTTGATTCGAATTTCAATCATTGTTTGTTGTAAAACAAGGGCGTGCTGTTTAAATTTTAGAAAAATTGGTCAACAAATAAAATTAATTTTCTAGACGTCTGACCACAGAATAACATGAGTTATGTACCTAGGTATTTGATAATATTAATTGTCGTTAATGGGTTTATTGTTTTCCAATTTTCACACAAAAAAATGTTCTCACATAACAGCTTTCAATACAGTTCAGCTACCTACCTGCTTCTGAGAATTTTTTAATTGTCGTTTAACAAAAATTTTGATGAGGAGTTTGTACAGTGAAACACCTGGCAATTTTTTGATAGGTATGGAAATTTTGTGACCTTTAAAAATTTAATAAGTATGCAAAATTCACAAAAAACTAATTACTTAATGAATATTTTCCCAAATTTTGTCTCAAATTGGATTCTGCCCACTTTAACTATTAAGTGGTTTTGAGCGGAATGCTGCTCTATTGATTTTTTTTTAAATTGGACTATTGTCCCCTGCTCTTTTGGTTCTTTTAAATGCGACCATTGTCCTCTGCTATTTTTTTTAAATGAAAATATCTTTATATTTACATTAAAACTATACCTACTCAAGTATTTATACAAAAGATCTACCTTTTGGGTTTTTTTTTTGGGACCATTGTCTCCTTATCTTTTGGTATTTTTCACATGGCACCATTGTCCCCTGCTCTTGGGGCTTTTTAAAATGAGACCATTGTTCCCTGCTGTTTTGTTTTTTTAAATGGGTCCCTTGTTCCCTGCTCTTTTGGGTTTTGTTTATTCCCCACGGAATACTACTCTTATTTTTTTAATTTGTTTTATTTTATTTTATTATCCCTCTCTTGTTTTGGGCCCTCAACAGGCATGCGCCCAATTACAGAGTGACCCGCATAATGCTATTTAGAGGTGCCTCTGCACTCTGCAGAAGGTCTTAAGATGGTCTATACTACTCCGGTATTTACCTTACGAATTAGGAAAACTGCAGGAAAACCTAATTCGGAGTAGCCGGTAGAATGCTCGGAACTGGTCTAAGGTAATTTCCATCTCCGCCACAGATGAAAAATTCACCTCAAACCAGGTTCGAACACCCGACCTCCGGATTTATAACCCAATGCTCTTACCACTGAGCCATAAATCCGACTTGGTTTTATTTTACAGTTTTTGGGCTCTCTGATTATTTTAAATTTCATTGTACACTACTCTCTTGGTATTTTCGTGCGTCCTCGCGCCGATTTCCTATATTAATTTTTTTTAGCAGACCCCCTCTTTATTTTATTTTTACTTTTTTTTGAAATGGGACTATTGTTCACTGCTTTTTTTAAATAGGACCATTGCCCCTGATATTTTGTTTTTTTTTGTGAAAGGGGGCCATTGCCCCCTTCCCTTTGGTTTTTTGTGAAATGGAACCATTGACCAATGGGACTATTGTCTCTTGCTCGTTAGGTTTTTTCCTGCGTCTTCGCGACGATTTACTGAATTAATTATAAATTGCAAAACGGCGAAACAGGTTTCTATATTCAATTTTTAACCTTTTGTTTTTCATTCCCTTCAGGACCTTGCTCTTTTTGTGTTTATTTTATTTTATGGGACTCTATCCTCCCCTTTTGGTTTTTTAAAAAATGTGATTATTGTTTCCTTCCTTTTTTTTGAAATGGTACTATTGTACCATTTGTTTTTTTTAATGAGACCATTGTCCCCTGCTCCTTGGGTTTTTTTGGGAAATGGGTGCATTGTCCTCTGCTTTTATTGTTCATTTTTTAAAATGGAACCATTGCCCCCTTCCCTTTGGTTTTTTGTGAAATGGAACCATTGACCAATGGGACTATTGTCTCTTGCTCGTTAGGTTTTTTCCTGCGTCTTCGCGACGATTTACTGAATTAATTATAAATTGCAAAACGGCGAAACAGGTTTCTATATTCAATTTTTAACCTTTTGTTTTTCATTCCCTTCAGGACCTTGCTCTTTTTGTGTTTATTTTATTTTATGGGACTCTATCCTCCCCTTTTGGTTTTTTAAAAAATGTGATTATTGTTTCCTTCCTTTTTTTTGAAATGGTACTATTGTACCATTTGTTTTTTTTAATGAGACCATTGTCCCCTGCTCCTTGGGTTTTTTTGGGAAATGGGTGCATTGTCCTCTGCTTTTATTGTTCATTTTTTAAAATGGAACCATTGTCCCCTGCTCTTTGGTTTTTTGAAATGGGATCATTGTCCCCCACTCTTATTTTAAATGGGACCATTGTCCCTTGCTTTATTATTGTTTTTTTAAAAATTGGATTGGGATTGTCTCATCATCAATGAATGCTGCTCTTTTGGTTTTTTAAAATTTTTTTGCTCAACGGTACTTACAATTTTTCGCGTAATTTTTCATTAGCATTCTTTTCTTTATTTTTTATTTTTAAATTTTTTTTTAAATTTATTTTTTTGTTTCAAATTCCTCTCGGGATCGTGCTCTTTTTTTAAACTTTGTTTTTACTTTTTTTGAAATGGGGTTATTGCGAGGGTTATTGTCCTCTGTTTTTTTTTAAATTTGTAGCCTGCGCCTTTTGCTGGTTGTGTTAATGGGATCATTTAATCCCTTGCTATCTTGCTTTTTTTGTGAAATGGAACCATTGACCTTGCTCTTTTGGTTTTTTAAATGCGACCATTCTGCCTTGCCCTTCTGGGTTTTTTTACGGCTTTTTTAAATGGGACTATTGTCTCTTGCTCGTTAGGTTTTTCCCTGCGTCTTCGCGCCGATTGCAAAACGGCGAAACAGGTTTCTATATTCAATTTTTAACCTTTTTTTTTCATTCCCTTCAGGACCTTGCTCTTTTTGTGTTTATTTTATTTTATGAGACTCTATCCTCCCCTTTTGGTTTTTTTTAAAAAAATGTAATTATTGTTTCCTTCCTTGTTTTTTTTTGAAATGGTACTATTGTACCATTTGTTTTTTTTTAATGAGACCCCTGCTCCTTGGGTTTTTTTGGTGAAATGGGTGCATTGTCCTCTGCTTTTATTGTTCATTTTTTAAAATAGGACCATTGTCCCCTGCTCTTTGGTTTTTTGAAATGGGATCATTGTCCCCCACTCTTATTTGAAATGGGAGCATTGTATCCTGCTCTTTTGGTTTTTTTTAAGTGGAGTCTTTTGCTCTTCTGTTTTTTTTTGGGTAATGGGCCCATGTCCCTTGCTTGATTATTGTTTTTTTTAAAAATTGGATTGGGATTGTCTCATCAGCAATGAATGCTGCTCTTTTGGTTTTTTAAAATTTTTTTGGTCAACGGTACTTCCAATTTTTCGCGTAATTTTTTATTAGCATTCTGTTTATTTTTTATTTTTAAATTTTTAAAAAAATGTATTTTTTTGTTTCACATTCCTCTCGGGATCGTGCTCTTTTTTTAAACTTTGTTTTTACTTTTTTTGAAATGGGGTTATTGTCCTCTGTTTTTTTTTTAATTTGTAGCCTGCGCCTTTTGCTGGTTGTGGGATCATTTGGTTCCTTGCTATCTTGCTTTTTTTGTGAAGTGGGACCCATTGACCCCTGCTCTTTTGTTTTTGTTTAAATGGGACTATTGACTCTTCATCTTTTGGTTTTTTAAAAACCGGACCATTGTACTCTGCTCTTGTGTTTTTTTTTTTTGTAAAATGGGCCCATTGTCTTGCTCTTTTGGGTTTTTTGGTTTCTCACGGAATGCTGCTCTTGTTTTTTTTTATTTTAGTTTATTTTATTTTCCTGCTTTTTTTAATTTTACCATTGTCCCCTGATCTTTTGGGTTGTTTTTATCCTCCACAGAATGCTACTCTTGTTTTTTTTTAAATTTTAGTTTATTTTATTTTGCATTTTTGTTTTTGCATCCTCATACCAGGTATTCAATATGCCATGAGGAACTGCTGTACTTCGTAGTGTCTGTTTGGGTAAAACGTGCCTTTCGCTCACAAATACTCCGTTTCAAAAGTTGTATGGCTTGCAAACTTGGATATACACTAGTGGTAGTGATCCTACCAACAATATAAATTGTGCACAACTCTTGTGCAGATAAAGCGCATTTGTTAAAACCGAAATAGCTTAGCAAATAATTGGGTTATAAGATAGTAGCCTCGGTAGTAGCATAGAATATTTATTTATGGTAATTGATAAGCTTCTTGGTAGATAATTAATGGGGAAACATTTAAAAATCGCCTGGCATGCATTCAAAATCTACGCTATATAATGCAAGAAGAATAAACATCAACAAATTCTCCAAAATATTCTATTTTCTCTGCCTTCCTCCTTCCCTTTAATCACGAAAATGAATCACGCAGGTAAGTTATAGTTCGTTGTTTTTGCATTCGGTAGCTAATAGCTCTGGCCCCTCAAGCAAGAAAATCTTGACGATTAATGAATGTGCACATGCGCAATGTCAACGTTCTTATTTATAGAGATATTTTTTTGAAATTTTAACCACAGATACTTCTAGTAATGACAAGCATATCGCATATTGTAAAAATCAGATGTGCGCATGCGCAGACTGCGGAATGTTAAATTTTTTATTGATAGAGATATTTTTCTGAAATTTTAACAAAAAATTCTTCTAGTAAAGGCAAACATCGCTTATTTTAATATCAGGTGTGCGCATGCGCAGGCTGTGCAATGCGAGTAAAGCTCGCGTTAAGGTGAAAACCTTTTTTTTTAAAATTTTTTTTATACGTACGCACTGAAATCCATCAGTACTGATAGGACTCTGTAAAACTACTAAACTGGTTTTGTTTAAATTATACACAGCAGGTTTCTTAGGGAGGATAGTGTGAAACAGAGAAACGTACCATTTCACCTCTTTCGAAACAATTTATAGCTTCGTGAATTAAATACACTGTAGCACTTCTATTACTTATTTTTAACTAGAACAAGTGAGATTTTACATTCAAACTTAAAACACGTTTCAAATAACTGTTGTCGGTCACTTTTTTAATTGAGTACATCCCTAACAGGATTTAGGAAAACGTGATTTGGAAAGGGAAAAAATATACCTCGTATGCTATGTGATACGAGTGGGTTCAATGGAAAACAAAGAAATCGACCATCGGCGAAGTTCCATGTCGACAAATTATAATAAAAAAAATTGCAAATTGGAAGTGAGGAAACCGTTTGGCGTCGCTGCTAAGGATATTACACCAATCATGTCCGGTAAATTAGAGACTGATTTAGAGCAGGAGTTTGTTGTTCCCTTCTACAGGTATTGATCGTGTGTAAATTTGGCATGCTTTAATCGGTTTATTCTATTTCAGTTGTGATAAAGATAATTTAGATCAAACACTTCGTAAATTTATAAATAAGGACACGAATAAAAATGAGGGCAAAAATCAGGCGTTATTTGTTAGCATGAAATTGTTGCACGGTGATCTTAAACAGGTAACAGATTTAAGTGAGAGTTCGTCTTACAAGGACTTTTCAGGTAAGGGAGGAAAATCCTCACCTAATACTGGGTAATATTTCTATTGCAAGAAAAATGGGGTTTCCCGAAGTAATCTTACCCGGCGATGTTAGGAATGATCTTTACCTAACGTTAGTTTGTGGCGAATTTAATAAAGGCAACAAAACTAGCGAGAAGAATGTTGAAGTGGTTGTTAAAGTGTGTAACGAAAAAGGTGTTGCTATACCAGTAAGTGTCCCCTTTTAAAAGTTGTTTGTTACCTGTATTGTTTCAGGGTGTGATCTCACTAGGCGGGGGTGCTCCTCCCTTAAATGAGTATCGATCTGCAATGTACTATCACGAATACAAACCCCATTGGTGCGAAACCTTTAAAGTTGCGATACCAATTGAGGAATTTAGAAGTAGTCATCTGAAGTTCACATTTAAACATCGCTCCACCAACGAAGCCAAAGATAAAAGTGAGAAACCGTTCGCGATGTCCTACGTTCGGTTAATGCAGGAAAATGGAACAACACTCAAAGATGCGAAACATAACTTAATTGTGTACAAAATTGACCATAAGAAATTTGACGACTCTGGTTTGGATTACTTTAAGCTTCCGTCAACAGTGGATGAAATAAAGGACAGTAGCAGGCCGCAAACGAACGGGCTATCTCTCAGTACAAAAGACAGCTTTACCATATCTACTAACATTTGCTCAACAAAACTTACACAGAACAGTATGTCGATTACGATTAGCTTAATAATGAAACTTTTTTTATTACAGTTGACTTACTGGGTCTGTTAAATTGGGCCTCGCACAAGGAGACATTACGGGAGTCTCTCGTTGCGTTAATGAAGGTAGATGGTGAGGAAGTAGTGAAATTTTTGCAAGACATATTAGATGCCTTGTTTAATATTTTAATGGACAATCCCGAATCTGATATTTACGACGAAATGGTTTTCGATTGTTTGTTACATATTATCAGTCTAGTCAGTAGCGATTGGAAATATCAACATTTTGAACCAGTTTTAGATTTGTATATTAAAGAAAGTTTTAGTGCGACACTCGCATATAGGTAAGAGTGTTTTCGTGCAATTTTTTTCTTAATTTTTATTTAATTGAACCAAACAAAATCGTGCGAGTTTATCAATAACCAGGCGTAAGGTCAATGTGCACAGACTAGTTAATTAGAATACTAGAGAATGAGAGCTAATAAGACGCTTAGCCTGTTAGCACAGATTTAAACACTCCAGAATCTCCAGATATGTCATGCTTGGTTAATGACGACGGCATACAATTCATGAGAACCAATAGAGGTCGCCACTGACAAATGTCAATGTAAAATTATATCTAACTTTGAGAATGACTCCTGGGCTTATACAATAATTTTTTAGGGTGGTTCCCAAACTTATTTCCATGGCCCCCCTTTCAAAAATCTAAAATTGCTAACGCCCCCCTTCCCCCCTCTCGATTAAAATCAAAATCAATCAATTTCAGTATCTCTTTTTCCTTTCTTGTAACCAATTAAGACTCTTAGAGTTGTTATCGTGGTAGTGAGAGGACAACCCTTGTTTGTATTTTAAATTTTAATTATTTTTATGCCCGTTTGCACCGACAAATTTAAGCGGGGCTTAGCTTAATCGTAGCGTAAAAGCCATGGCAACCATTGTCTCAATAATCGTTGCCATGGATTTTAAGTTCCGCTTAAATTTGTCGGTGCAAACGGGCATTAACGAATTAAATTAAAATTTAATCTTCCCCATTGACATGACCTGTATTGTCACAAAAAAATTCAAGATGGCGGCCAATAAAAATTGTTTAACCTCAAAATATATTAAATAAATTTAAATGGAAGCGTTCTAATTTTCATGTCTATAATATCTCATCGTTAATAGCGACCCTGTATAAATATATGATTGATTATGATTAAATTAAAAATATTAAAATGGTGGACAAAAAAAATTTTTACCTCAAAGATGTGAAATAATTTCAAATGGAATGTTTAAATCGGTGCTGTTAGTGCGCCATAGTTAAGCGGGGCGAATAGTAATTAATTGTGGGCGTTTGTCAATTTTTTTAAATATATCTTTCTTTTCAGTAAATTAATTGTTGTGATAAAAAATTTAGTGGATAATGCAATATCGATAGTCTCCATTGCGAAAGATAATATACTATTCAAAGCAATGAAAGCTCTACAGTACATCATGAGATTTGTATCTCGGTCTCGTTTGTTATTCCGCGAGCTTTATCCCGAGATGAACGACGACAGTTTCGAGGAAAGTTTGAAAAGTTTGTTACATAGTATCGTAACGATGATGTGTCAAACGTCGGACACATTGCTTCGAGAACAAGGTGCTTGCTTAAAGTATTTGCCTAGTACAATTCCTGATATTTTAAAGGTGTTTAATGCTAAACAATTGAGGTAAGTACATTAATTTGCCCTACATCTGGAGCCTCCCTTTCTCTTTTCTAGTATTATTTTGTGCGACTTACTGAAGAATATCCCTCCAAATAGATTAACAAAACAGAAAATGATGACTATTAATGAAATAGTGCACAGCAAGTTATTCCTGTATCCTGAATGTCGTCAAATTCTCTTACCAGTTTTTACAAAACAAATTAAAGTATTGTTCGAAACTAGTGAAGAGGTATGTACATTTTTTCGTGTTTGGCTTTGCTTGGCTTACATATTAATTATTCATGATACATTAAAAATGAAAAAAAGATTATTGTTCATACCATTGTTGTACAGTGTATATATGAAGCGATTAAAATATTACTTGCACTGTGTTATGTTGCATTTATATCTGCACAGTTCCTTCCAGAAAGTAAAGTTTTCAAAAGATATTTGAAAACAGGTATTGTTATTTTCTGTCTGCACACAGTTGTCTTGGCCACCGAGTACTGTCATGAGCATTATAGTTTTACAGGAACAAATTCTGTCGAAAACGAATCTTCCATTTCTCTCGCCTCTACTGACTTCTTTAACTCTTTCTCAAGGTACTTTGGGCATTTTTATCTCTGTTCGCTTTTTGTATAACTTGTTTTAGTGTTTTGCTTGGCTTAATTGTTGCATCTTTTTTAACTTCAGATTCATGCACGATTTTTATTGCATTTATTGGAAGTATGTTTTTAATCTAGCACGATTAATTTGCATGAGCAATGAACTAAACATTGGGTGAAACACTTTTTGCGTTTTTGAATTTAAATAAAAATTTAAACCTCTCTCTCTCGAGAGAGGTCAGCACTAGGCATCTACTAACATGTAGAAAAAATTCATTCAATTATGTTACACTATTTTTGTAGTTAGCTTAATTGTAGGAAATGCATTTATAATAATAAAGTTTTAATTTTTTGTCACTTATAATTATTGCACAAGAGGTTTGTATTTGACCGAGTAAATTTGGGTTTTTTAGTTAATGAAAATCTGTTGCCTAGCAATTAGACGAGAAAATCTGTCAACTAATAAAAATGCGACACTGAAGGACACCTGAGACACTTCCTTTAAGCGGTCCTTACTGTTGGCGATACGAAGAAAAACTTCTTTGTTGATTACGATGAATTTTAATGTTAATTATTTGAATATCCAAACGGATTGGTTTATTCCAGTAGATTTTTATCGCTCGAAAATAAACTGCCTTACGTCTAACTAGGCTAACCCCCCTTTTAATCCACAATTAAAATTGCAGGGAACTCTCACTTTGCCACAAATTCAACTTTAACTAAACATGTCTTCATGACTTACTCAACATTTAGGAGTTCTCGCTACTTAATATATTTTTCCTGAAATTAAACTGCTAATTCTTCACTACTATTCAGATAAATTTCACTCAATAATTGCACTTTTGGTTCTGTAAATGGCAAAAGGTGCCAACAAACTCTCTTACAATCCCATCTGTCTCGCTTCGCTTATGTCGAAAATGCACATCTTTATGGAAAATGTACCAGTTATCGCTTTTTATTTCCGGACACACTTTTGTTCACGTTCGCTATGAAGCGGAACATGTGTAAATTTTCCTATGCCGAACAATATAAATTCTAAAAAATACATTATGTTATCAAAAATCTCTAAACCTTCCCCATATAGTTTTATTCGTTGAAGTTTTTTAAAAATAACAGCGACTATAGTTTCGGCGTACTGCCATCATCAGGCGATGTGAAAGTTAACAGGAAAACGGTAAATTACAAACGTTGAAGACGGATAAGACGAACATGTTGTTTTTTTTTAATTATAAACTGGCCGAAGCCAAGTGAAGAACCTGAAGGGTGGTTAAAACGGAAAGGTTGTCCTAAGTTTCAAGACGAATTAATTATCAAGCCTTGTTAAGACAACCAACCGGGGGGTTGAATTTTTACATTAAAGTTGAAATTTGGGTTAACACATTTCAAAAGAACGGGGGGGAATCTACCGAATTGTCAATCATTTCGAGACATGCCGTCTGCATGATCTCGAATTTAAACTTTACTTAAATAATTTAAATATGTAGTCATCTTAATAGTTTCAATACTTTTATAAGTTTATTTTTTCCCCCCCGTTCTTTTGAAATGTGTTAACCCAAATTTCAACTTTAATGTAAAAATTCAACCCCCCGGTTGGTTGTCTTAACAAGGCTCGATAATTAATTCGTCTTGAAACTTAGGACAACCTTTCCGTTTTAACCACCCTTCAGGTTTTTCACTTGGCTTCGGCCAGTTTATAATTAAAAAAACAACATGTTCGTCTTATCCGTCTTCAACGTTTGTAATTTACCGTTTTCCTGTTAACTTTCACATCGCCTGATGATGGCAGTACGCCGAAACTATAGTCGCTGTTATTTTTAAAAACTTCAACGAATAAAACTATATGGGGAAGGTTTAGAGATTTTTGATAACATAATATATTTCAACCCCCATTTCGAGGAACGATGGATCCAACTCAAAAAAAAAAAAAAAAAAAAATCTAAAAAATACTTTTTTAATTCTAAAGCGGCCACGCGTTATACCCCATTGGTTACGTTGTAGGAAAATTCCAGCAATTATAAAAGAAATGGTATACCGGCAATGGTGGCAATGACTAACTTTTTTACTGAAATCAAACGAGTCTTTGAAAAATGTAAGAAATTAGGAAGGAGAGGTTCAATATTAAAAAGAAAAAAATAAATATCATCCAAGAATTAAAATCACGTGACATTAATATTAATATCAACAGTATAACCTACAAAAGATAGTGCTACAGAGTTTTTGATTCATTTTCAAGTGGGGTTAATTTGTTTGAACACCCTGTAAAATTGTGATTATGTATAATATCCTGTGTAAAATAAGGACACTGCTGATCAAATTTGGTTTCAGTCTAATCATACTTCCACTAGGAGAGTTGTATGGTGTTTCCTTATGAAAATCGCGATGGTGCTCTGCTAATTTAGAATGCAGGAAAAACTGAAACAAATAGAAAGAAGTTTATGGAAGAATTGTAAAAGACTAAATTCCCGCCCGACTAAACTCTGCGACGGGGTCTGTCTTTAACCGTTTATAAATAATCATTTACATGAATTGGATTTTTTTCGTGTTTACGTCCGCAATATCTTTGAATTCATTTCTGCACAGTTTAATACACACGTGTTGTCGGGGAATTTTTTGTGTGTGGAAAATTAAAAATTACATGGTCTATTTTGGTCGTGGCAAAGAGAAGTGAATCAATGAAAAGCACGCGTGGAGAATTCATTCAAACCATGTTTTCATAGATCTTGTGGAACATTGACATATTTAAATGCTTATTCTTAATAAGCCGTTGGAGATATGCTCCTAATACTGGGGTATCTGTTGCGAAAATGAAAATTCTAAGTTACTACCAGGAGAACATTATGCGAAGAAGTTTTAGAACTTTGCACGAGGAGATTAGAATGTTGGGAGGAGGTGTTTTTCCACCTAATACAAAGATTAGCTGTTAGGAAAATCTAAATTTTCGCTGGATACTTGGAGAACATGATAATTGAGAAGGTGTGTTTTTATGTTCACCCCATTTTTTTTTTCACACTTGTATCACGATTAGGTAGTCTCGTATAGCAACCACAGAAACAGAATTCTGTGTGAAACAGATTGTTTTAGATGTCACTGTAATCTTAAAGACAGGTGATAATAATTAATTTGTTTTACTACAGAATACTTGTTTCTGTGGTTACTCTTTACAAGACTGGTTTCATAAAAATGAGCCGATATTTGTTTGCATATGGACATAATTTCATATTCTAAACACCTTTTCTTAATAACCGTTTGCAGGATTATTGATCAAAATGGCACTATACCTCAACATAAAATTATTGTTTTCTTAATTGTAATGGCCATCTTGGATTTTAAAAAGTAAAAGTGTGTTTGAAATTTTTTTCAGGTCAAGCAGGTCTTGATCCCAAAACATCAAAACGATATTCAAAAATGTTTATCGATTACATGTATAGGTGAAGTCATTTTGGGGACGCACTGTATACCATCAGGACTAAGAACAACCAATAATGTGCTTTTTTGTTGTGGAAAATAGAGATGGGAATTAATGTCCGACATTCATAGCCTAGTTTCCTGGTCGCGATCAATATTTGCGGGGCCAGACTTTTGTTCAATATCTGGACCGGATAATTCCAAGCCACCTATACATTTTAGGCTATACAGTAATACATAAGTTGTTATACTAAATAATCATTAAAACAATGTCATCTATTTGGTGCACACTAGTACCGCTATATTTAAAGAGATTAGAGTGATTAGAAAATTACCACAAAAAGTTCATCCAAGGTTTAGTGTAGCAATAGAGCCATTTTTAAGCAGCATGGGTTAAGCTAACTAGCTTCGAGTCTAATTGAAGTAACTCGCCAGGTCTGACCATATCCATATCCACTTTCAATAAATTGAATTTTGCCCGCCTCTACCAAAAAACCTCTCATGTACCAACAAAATTAAAAACTCTGTCAAATTCGTAAACTACAAAAACCCTTAACATTATATCAATTGCTAAAATTTTAACCATGATCTATTAATAGTAATAATAATAATAGTATTTATTCCATAGACAAACAGGTTTGTGTGGAAGTTGTCAACAAATATCTGAATATTTTAAATTACATTGAATATTATAGATAAAAAACAAATTACACATTACATAGCGACAAACAAGTTACATTAACCAGTAAACCAGTAATCAACAAAGTAGACAGATATAAACAAATTTGAGTACAAAACGTTACTCACTCTATAATTATTAATTATTAGTAATGTTTATCGAATTCATTTTGGATTATCAAATAATCAATAATCAAATGATTGATCCATGATTAATTGGTAATATCTTTGGGAGAAAAAGCATGATTTTTTTAATCTTATAGTTTCACTCTTCTAAAGCACATCATAGTTTTGAAATTGGTTTGCATGCATAGAAAGGATTGTGGCATACTTCTTGGTGATGGTTTTAATTTTTAAAATTTAACTTTAGTTTATAATAACAATGTTTATTAACTATATATTAGTGTAGTTGTACCCCGGGTATTGTAGGGAACTGGAGTGGGGCGTCAGGAGGGCCGCAGACAGTTTCGCTCGGTGGCCAAGCTCGCTCGAGTGCTGGGTGAAACTCAACATTGTCTTAATCAACACAGAGGATATTCAGAAGAGGTGAATCGCCAAAAACTTATCTTTCACCATTTGTGTCACTATGTGCTTACCCTTTTTTTTTGGTAATAGGTTGAATTGTGCATCAAAATACTCAGCGATGTTCTGGATTTGTTGTTTCGGAAAGATGTCGGTTCTACCGTGCACGATATTACAGAAATAATGCTTGTAGATCTCCGCACTGTTATTCAAAGTCATATAAATATGGATAAAGAAAATCCTTACTCTGTAAGTGCTACCTAATCCGAAGATCACCAAATAATAACAGTTTTTAGGGTAATTTAGTCGCAATTATGATCGATATCTTTCGTCAAATGACAGATTATCATTATGATAAGTACATCGGTCAATTCGGGACGAGAACTGATATTTTAGACTTTTTGATGGAAATTTTGTTGGTTTTTAAGGAACTCGTAAATCAGTCAGTTTTTCCATCGGATTGGTGTGACATGATTATGCTTCAAAATTCTGTGATATTGAAATCGTTGCGATTTTTCTCGCATACCATACGAGATCATTTTTTTGCCAAATTTGACAATCAAGCATGGAGTAATTTTTTCCATTGTGCTATCGCATTCATGACCCAGCCTGCGCTTCAGCTGGAGACTTTTTCGCATAATAAACGAATGCGAATCATTAAACGTTACAAAGATATGCGTAGAGAAACAGGCTTCGAAATTCGTTCTATGTGGTTTAATTTAGGTAGGCCTCTTATGTGAGAGTATTGCTTTTCATTTTCAATTTTAGGCCAATATAAGGTCCAGTTTGTTCCTAGCTTGGTCGGTTCAATTTTAGAGATGACTCTTATACCTGAAGTGGAGTTACGCAAAGCGACCATACCCATATTTTTCGATATGATGCAGTGCGAATTTTATTCGTCTCGATACGAAATGGAGAGTTATGGTGACACAAAACGCGATTCATCACATATAAAGGCGAATTTCTGCGACTTCGAAAATGAGATGATAGCAAAGTTGGATATCTTGGTGGAAGGTGGCCGTGGCGATGAGCACTTCAAAAATCTATTTCATGATATTATGATCGATTTATGCAGTCAGCATACGACCATGAAGGACGATGGTATTAAATTCGTCAAAATGGTCTCTCGTCTGATGGAACGATTACTGGAGTATCGGTCGATTATTACTGATGAAAATAAGGAGAATAGAATGAGCTGTACTGTAAATTTATTGGTAAGTAATGTGTATTTTAACAGCCATTTAATCACTATCAAAGTGATCAAATCATATGTGCATTGGTCCAAAGCGAGATAAGGTTTTTTTGGATTTCAATTTAAGGTTAAGTTTTTGGATTGTTTGCGCTGTGGTTAACATCGACATGTAGAGATGGACTGCGCGTGTCAATGCTAAGCGCGGATACTACAGGTTAGAGAGAATGGAAAACTAAGAGGCAAGCTCTCTCTATCATACCAACAAGATGCGACATACAAGCACTGGCACAGCAATGTCGATTTAATCTTAATGTGACCAACAGAAACGCAATGGAGAGAGCTAGCTTGCCTGTTATCTCTCTCATCTATAGTATTCGCGCTTGGCATTGGCACGCACAGTCCATCTCTATATGTTGATGGTAGATAGTGATTAGGATTACATTGAAAAAGGGTGGCACTAGGCTGACTGCAGCTGAGGAACTTTCATATAAAAGGTTGAGGTCACAGCTTGATTGTCACTCAAAATTTAAATAGGAATGGAAATAATTAATCATATAATATAGCATTCAAAAATTATTTTAGGACTTCTACTCTGAAATAAATCGTAAGGAAATGTACATACGTTACGTAAATAAATTATGCGATCTACACTTGGAATGTGATAACCACACTGAAGCTGCATATACTCTCCAATTGCATAGTAATTTGTTGAACTGGTCGGACGAAATGCTACCTCCTTTACTGAAAAGCAATAGATACAGTGACTGTCACACTCACCGCCAGTTAAAAGAGGCTCTCTTTTACAATATAATTGACTACTTCGATAAGGGAAAGGTGAGTAAACATACTCTAACCGCACTAGTGTTAAGCACGCTTGCAATGTAGATGTGGGAATGTGCCTTGAAAAAGTGTGAAGAATTAGCAAGGCAATATAAAGAAGAAACGTTCGATTATGAACAATTAAGCGAGTTACATAAACGAATGGCGCTCTTTTATGAAGATATAATGAGGAAGCTGCGAACCACGCCAGAATATTTCAAAGTCGCTTATTATGGGCGTGGTTTCCCCATCTTTCTGCAGAACAAAACTTTTATTTACAGGGGGAAAGAGTACGAACGTTTGGCCGATTTTTCGTCGAGAACGTTAAACGAATATCCAAACGCTGAGCTTTTGAATAAGTTAACTCCTCCAGGTGACGATATTTTGGAATCCAATGGGCAATGTATCCTTTTTTACTATTACACAGGGATTAATTTGAAATTAATAAGGTTATTTCTTTGCAAAGGATACATGGTTTACCATTACTGCTTCCTCAATTTAATTTTGGTAAGTCATAGAGGCTAACGTTGCCTAGTCTGATACACATCACATACATTTCTTAATAAGCCATTACCCGTACCAGTTTACCATGTTAACGGTACTTTCCAGTGTGGTCCCAAGTTTTCTTTTTCTACAGGTCCAAATTTGACACTTTCTTATGGAAACACCCTTTATTTTAAAAGATGGAAATGGATCTAGGTGCCTGGAGTTCAATTTTAAAGAGAAAATCAGTAATCTCTAATTGTTTGGCCGCTAGGGGGCGTTTCTCGAAGCTAGTCGATTTCTTTAATGCTCCATAACTTTCTTATTATTAAGATAATCGGTTTTGGCAAACTCTTTCTTAGAGCACTTTTTATGTAGAATCCATTGTGTTACACAGTTTTTATAGAGGATGGTTGGTTTTTGTTATACGACCCTAAATTACATTTTTTCATAAGAGCGTAAAATTTCTTTAATTTAATATATATTTGCGCTTCTTTTTAATTAAATTCGGTGCACCTTCTTTAGAGTTGTGCGTAACAAACAGAAGATGTGAAGAATTATTTACATTACTCCCTATACGACGAACCCCTATGTTCTCGGCATTAATATTTGGTTCTAAGGTATGAATTATGGCCTTGGCAGCACTCAAATCGTTTGGTGATTCTGATAACTGATACAAAAGTATGTTTTTTTTTCGCGTTCCGCGATCTCATTGATGATTGTATCGATTATTTTGATTGCTTGCCTTATCAATTGCTTCAGATCTTCAATCGTTTTGCGTTTTCTAAGAAAGATTTTGCCAAAATCAATTATGTTTAATAATAAGAATGGGGCATTAAAGAAATCGACTGCCTGCGAGAAACTAGCTGCCAAACGATTAGAGAATTCTGTTTGCGCCAGTGATTTTCTCTTTTAAATTGAGTTCCAGACACTTGGGTCCATTTTTCTCTCTTAAATAAAGGGTGTTTCCATAGGAAAGTGTCAAATTTGGACCACCCTCTACATATCTCAAATATAGACAGGGAAAGAATATTTTCGCTACAGATGAGCATTGCATGCGGGAAGAGTTCGCTAATCAAAACCGACTCACTTCTTACACCTTGTGTGTATGCAGAAAATACTGAACTTGATTATGACTTTTTTATTATTCCTCGATATTTGGTTTTTGTTAGATGTAATTTGCGTTAATTTAGAGCGACTTCGGTAGGCCCCACACATACCAGGGGACAGTTCTGTTCTACATTCTTCTGCCTGTGAACCGAGGTTGAGTGTGGCTAGAACAGGCTTTGATTATTTGGAGGTGTATTTAATTAGGCTTTCTTTAGCGCATTTCCACAAAAATAAAAAAAAAATGCGCTATTGTGGCCACTTTGTCCGTCCGTCCGCTCGTTTTGCGACGCTACTAGTTCTTTATCTTAAGAGCTATTGTTCTACTTTTTTCGCTATTTGGTTCGTTATGGTGTCGAGTCTTGTACCAAGGAAGGAATTTTTTCTGTACCGCTTACAAAAAAAGTTATTGTAAAAAAAACAAAAAAACCGTTTTTTACATGTTCCATAATTTTACACTTTTGCCGTTTATTAACGATCCTAGAGATCGTTTATAATTTTGCATTGCTATCTGTCGTCTGCATGCTGGTCTGTCCGTCTGTTCCTTTGTCTGTCTGTCCATCTATCTGTCCGTGTGAACGATAACTTTGTTTAGAAATGTTCGATCGCTTTTACATCTCCGTTAGTTATGAACTGAATTGCATGAAATTCAATATGGGCATAGCTTTAGCCATATAATACGCAATGCCAAAAGTTGAATCGAATCGATTCAAAATTCACAGTGCCCTTTTCGCATCTCGACCATTTATAAACCGAATTGCAAACTTTTTTACTTATAAAAGTATTTGAATGAAATTTGATACATAGGCACTTGTAATAAAGGAAAATCAAACGCCAATTTCAAAATTTGGTTTTGCGCATGCGCAGTGCCAACTTTTTTATTTGCGGAAGAATTTACACGAAATTTGATACATAGGCACATGGGATAAAGGAAAATCAAACGTCAATTTCAAAATTTGGTTTTGCGCATGCGCAGTGCCAACTTTTTTATTTATGGAAGAATTTAAACGAAATTTGATACAGAAGCACTTCGAATAAAGGAAAATCAAACGGCAATTTCAAAATTTGGTTTTGCGCATGCGCAGTGCCAACTTTTTTATTTATGGAAGAATTTAAATGAAATGTGATACATAGGCACTTGGAATAAAGGATCATCGAGCGCCAGTCTCAAAATTTTCTTTTGCGCATGCGCAGTGCCAACTTTTTTATCTATGGCACCATTTAAGTGAAATTTGATACTTAGGCGCTTGGAACAAAGGAAAATCTAACATTAGTTTTAAAATTTAGGTTTGCGCATGCGCAGTTCCAACTTTCTTATTTAGAAAAGCATTGAAATGAAATTCTTCTCATAAACTGAAATTGAAGTAACTCGTCAAAAATAGTGCTTCTTGTTGGGTATTAAGGGAGTGGCGCCTCCACCACCACCTCCTTCAACCACTCAACGGAATGGTTGTTCTCACACGATGTTCTTAGCATCTCGCCCGACTACCTCCAACTCATGAACGTGGGTGCTAGTGTAACGGTTTTTATGGCGAACAGATGCTGGTCCAGAACCTTGGCCAGGTGATTTTGTACCATACCCGCTTGGTTAGCCATTAGCCTATCCAGAGCGTTATTAGTACTTTGAGTTGCGTTTTGGCAGTTTGCTTGTAGCTACTGGGCGGTGCTTCAGCCTCACTAACACTTGCCTTTGGTTGGGGCTGTGGTCTGTCCGTCAGCGGTTGAGTTGGTGTTGAGTCATCTGACCTCTGCTTCTTTTTCTCTCTGATTACCTGCTTTCCCGCCTGACCGGAATTAGCTGTAAGAGCCTACCTCTGGGTAAAGGTTTGGTCACGGGACGTGGATGGTTTGGAGCTGAATGTTGGAACAGTTAGACACATTTGGGTCAGTCTGGCCTTCTTTCTTCTCTTCTGATCAGCGCCAGAGATGCACTGCGTGGTTTGGATTGTTGTTGAGGCTCGGTGACCTGTGACATAGATTGTGGGGTATCCTGGGACGCTCCCTCTGGTTTATTATACTGTTGAGCCTCTGTGCCATAAAGTATAAATTCGTTCCTTTAGCTCCCCACCCACCACGGAGCCCAACAAGGGGACGTCTATCCAGACGCTACTAGAAGAATATAGCTTGTAAAGGGTAACGGAAAACAGGCCTGATTTTGCTATGAAGTAGGTCATTGGAGAACGGCCCACCTTCAGCTATACGTCGTCTAGTATAAAAACAGTCGCAAGTAGCCGTCCACTGCAAAACTTATGTCTTTTTCTTCGCATGGGCTAGATGGAGACGAAAATATAATAGCATAATTTGTGTACACCTCACAGGCAACCAGTTTTGCAGTGGGGGGCTACCTGTGACTGTTTTTATACTAGAAGAGCAATAGTCAGTCTGCTGCCACTATCCTAAAGATGCTCACCCAGTCGGCGGTCTGACCCGATGACGCAGTCGATTGAGCATGGCGGGCTAGCCATGATCTCTCGCCTTAACCGAAATTCTGGCCAAAGTAGAGTGTCGTTGCTACTTCACGTAACTCAACTATCCATTCATCCGCTATTACGGGTCGCCTCATACGCCACAAACACAAGGGTGTTGTCTTTACTCTGGATTCTCACTTGAGACCGTCTTACGCCGGGTCGAGCCTGGCGTTATACGCCCCCTTGATCACTGAACCCACTCAAATCTCACAATCCCCAAAAATTGCGCTGAGGTAGTGTGGTTAGGGGGATTGTCTGTTTGAACTGGTTTTTCAAAGAAAGTTTTCCTCAACAAACTAAAGATATACAAATAAATCACGTCGATCCTATAATGGACGAAAAGGCCCAGAGGTTTTCTGGTAAACCAGTTGCGAATCAAATTGTAAAGTATTACAAAGTCAATGACGTACAGAAATTTCGATATTCGAGACCGTTCACCCGTAAAGACTTCAACATCGAAAGCGACAACGAATTTGCCAGTTTATGGCTGGAACGAACTATTCTGGTGACTACGTACCCTTTGCCCGGAATCCTCCGGTGGTTTCCAGTTAGCTCGACGAACACAATCGAAATTTCTCCTTTGTGTTACGCAATAGAGACTATGGAGGAGAAGAATAAAGACTTGAGAGATTCAATTATGGGGTACAATCAAGATAAGACTATGCCCATTAATCCATTGAGCTTAAAATTAACCGGTACGTATTTGACGTTCTGTACTTCGCTTATTATTTCTCTTGAAGGGATTGTCGATCCGGCGGTAATGGGCGGAACTACGAATTACGAAGAAGCTTTTTTCACCCCCGAGTACATAAAACAGTATCCCGAAAACCATGTATTAATTCAACGTTTAAAAGACTTGATAGCCGATCAAATTCCGTTGTTGGAATTGGGAATACAGGTTCATAAGGATCGTGCGCCGACGTCGTTGCTGCCCCTGCAAAAGCGATTGGAGGATTGTTTTACCAAGCTGCAGGAAAATGTTGTGGAAAAGTACGGCAAGAGGGTGCGAAGTTGAAATGTTGGTTGGAATAAGGTCATTAATGCTGTCTGTTGTAGAAGTGTGATTTAAAATTAGATCAGGTAACGATGAGGCGGCAGTTTAGCATGCCCCCTAACGCGAGGTACGCGGAAACGACGCAAATTGGAGAGTAAGTTTTTTTTTGCATTTACTGGATGTGTTAGTGTAGTATTAAGCAATGTAGATGCATGCGTAGTATGCAAAATTGTCATTTTCTTTCAAAATATTTGAATGGAAATGAATTTCTAAATGTTTATGTAGTACTGGGGTTCGTAGCAGAATACCAAGTGTAACAAGAGGTCAGGTATCATCCTTGAAACATTTCACAGCAACATTTAATTTTACTGCTTCGACACCTGCCGCTAACAGGTTTGTAAGTTTTCATTTGCTTGCATGTTCACAGTCTGCTTTTTTATGTTGCGGGATATCTTGAACTAACCTAGTTATATCTTAAAATAATTTTCATCTCCTTCTCGACTTAAATGAAATGATTGAAAATTATTTTATGGTCATTTTACTAACAAAATTTTTAACTTTTCAGGCGTGCATCACAACCAGTGGTGGTTTTAAGTCAAAATGCGCGAAACTCTACCTCATATGCCTAACTTACTAGTTATCCTTCCTAATCTTTAATTTAGTATTAATTTTGTTCTTATTTATCTGTTTTAACAATGCACTGCTGGGGACACTTTCAAGACTTACCGGTAAATATTTGTCATATAATATTTCTCGCTTTATTTGAAAAGTAGTAGATTAATAATTCTCCATTAAAAAAACGTATCATTTCTAATCGCATGCTGTTTTGATAAGTAAGATTCATTAATTATTAACATGGGATTGTCCAGTAAATTTACAGCAGTGTCATCTTTTGTCAAAAGTAAAATGACTTACCCAAAGGCTGCAAAAGGGGATTATTGTTATTGTCGCTCTTTTGATGCTACTTAAAAATGACACCTCTTATTGTGATTGACAACACTATACACATCTTCAAAAATATGGCCTAAAAAATGTAATATTGACTTATTTATCTTGTAATTAGTATCATAACTATTGCCAAAGTGAACTTAAAAAAACTCATTAAATTCAAAAAATTTAGATTATGATAGTAATTGTTGATAGCGGTGCTCTGGTCAGTAGGGGAGAGACCAATAAAAAGTGTAATCATAAAAGATTTACAAAAGGCGCATTTCAATCAGGCATAGATCATTGGAAGCCACTTCTTCATATCAAAAGAAACATTTCTAAATCCCTCCAACAAAAACGCGAAAAAGTTTCGTTTTTTCGTTTTCGTTAGATATGATCCTTAAAAATCCATAAAATTCATTTCTTGGACATCAAACTAAAGAGTTTCCAAATGAAATTAGTGCACAAATAACACTAAATGCTGCGACGAACTTGGGGTCGTTCGCGCACACTCGGCGAACTTCAAAATTTAAACAAACAAATTATAGAAATTAATATACGAGCGGCAGTCGGCGGCAACCTGGGTGTTCTGTCGGCGGAACAAATGGAAGGACGGATGAACTCGAGCGCCACCAAGCGAAAGGCCTCGCGAGTCGCGCCTGGTCCAGGTCGGCGATAGCAGCGGCCTGGCGAATAGGTCTCTGAAGCAACGGGTAAACGGAACCGGAGAAATGGAAAATTCAGAAATCGAACGGTTCAGTAAATGGCGGCGGTCACTTCGGAAAAACTAAAACAAAATTACGGCAATCTCCCTAGCGGGAATGAATGCAACCAAGCACAAATCGACGGAAATGCCAATACAAGAAAGCGAACTATATTCCCCCCTTGTAATTAGTGAAACTGAAACCAACCAAAAAAACTTACCTTGCAATTAGTTGCTATAGTTACGGTGCGGTAAACTTAATTCAAAAGCAAAAATTAAACGGTCTGAATGCAAAATAAAATTTACGGACAATATACAAATTTGATACGGGGAAACACAAAAGGCAAAAGATGCAACAGTAAAAGCGTTTATGTTTCGGTTAAACATTAAAGGCAATAGATCGATGATTTAAATACGGTACGGCTACAAAAGTTCAAAATTTCGATATTTACAAAACGAAGCTTGCGAAAAAAAAAAAAAAAAGATCCTATTTTTAATTAAATACGCCTTTTCTCGACATCGGAAAAATATGGGACCGGTGTCAAACTTCAAGTTTTTTAAGAGCGCACCTAACGGATGTTATCTCGACCTATCAGCGGTTGTTATCTGTAACTCATTCACCTAATTACGTGTTAATTATACTTATCCAAATAGTTGGAATGAAATTTCTAAATTCGGCAGTCCAGCAATACTCTTTTGTTCCTTGGAATTGGCGCAATCTGTTATCACGTTTATATTTTCCTGTGCGACCTTGCCTGTTTCAAGCCTGGATTGTCGTATACCATTAGAAAATCGATTAATTGCTATGGGCCGTGAAATTGTCGATGCTGATAAAAAGGACGTTGAACTAAATATGTACGTTTCCAAAATGTATTAAAGAAGTAAACAAAAAATCACTATCTAAACTTCTTTGGAGTCGATACTTTTAGACTGCAAGTCATAATGTAGACAATGGATAGACTGCTTAGCCTAGTCGCTTCCTTCGCCTCAAAACAAGGAAGGAAAATAAAACTTTATACATTGGTTTTACGATATGGTTTCTATTTTATTTAAAAAAAGGTGCTATTGTTTGCGCTTTGTCCGTCCGGACCCACTTCTGCCATTTTGAACTACTGAATCGAAATAAATTAGTTTATACAAACTAACTATAACTTTCCCGCGTGACTCTTTTTCAAGACAGTGGCCTGGGGGGGGGGGTAAGAAAAGGTCTCAACGAAAGGAAGCGGCTCAGTTCGTAAATATTCCTCGAGAATAATAGCTATTATTGACTTGTGATATAATCTACTATTAACTTCATCCCAAAATATGTGGAATATGTTTTTAAGCATATTTAAAATATTGCTACAACTTAAACCTATAGTAATTAGTATCATTATTCCACACGTTTGAGGCTTATACACTACACATCACAAAACTTTCATCTGAGTCATATTACATATTTTTATAGTAGGTCCTACATTAATTTACCTTTTTGCTTAATGGAAATCTTTAAGAGGTGTTAGCTTATATGACGTAACCCTGCTTTAAGTTACAGGATATGCCCATATTGGTTATGTATGCTTTTTGTTTTACTTAACCTTGTTTTGCTTATCGTAGCAAATCGTCTTCCAATTACACCAGCAAAAGTAGCTTAGTATCGCCAACAAAAAGTTTAACAAGTGCGCCATCATTAACTTACAAAAATAAAAATAAAACGCCCAAAGAAAAAAGAAGAGGTAGTAAAGTTGAAACAACATCCACGTCACCAAACAGTGGCGCTCAATGGTATACAACCGATGAAGTAACGCCCAATGGTAACCCCGTTTTCGAATTACGCCAAGAGGTAACCATTCACTTGCACACTCATATATTTTCAACCTTATTCTAGCTCACACCCAAAAGACCTCTACGGTCCGAAGTGGAACGTGAAAAACGTTTAAGTAGGCCACCCAGCGGACAATTTTCCAGACCATCCAGTTTGACAGTAATATTACGCACAAATAACAGTTCTGGTAACAGTAGCAATAGAGATTCAATAGGTAAGGTCAACATCAAAATACTCGATCTTGACCTTTAAGATTACTTAACACTCCAGGCACGACCGATTCCAGCATCAGTGAAGAAGATTTGCTACCTCCGCCGTTGCCTACAAAATCACGTGAAGCAGACTACTGCAATTTACCAAATAATACCTGCGAAAATACAAGTTTTCTTTATACGTACCGAAACTCGTTGCGATGTTCGTCGGTGCATACAAAGCTACCGCCGCCCGAACCGATCGACAATGACGATCCTCCCCCATTACCTCCACCAAAACCACCCAAAAACAAGTGCCTTTAGTACAAAGCTTAATTAAATTTTGTTGTGCATTGGTTATTTAAACACACTCTTCCTACTCAAAGATATTACTTAGTAGCTTTGCATTTGTAAATTATGTTTTTTATACAGAGATTTATTTGTATATACATTTTTGCTATTATTGTACGTAACAAAACACCAATTGATTGTTACCCAAGTGCCATTATTATACAATTTTTGAGCGTTTTTTTGAAAGTAGTTATAAGTTTTTTAGGTAGATATTGTAAAAATGCATCGCAATATTATAACCAAAGATTACAAGTATTAGAGGAGATATATAAGAAATTTTATTGTTTGTGATGTTTTTCCTTTTTACAACTTATTTAGTAGACACTGTAAATTTTTGAAAGTATTAATGAAGTTTGAAATGATTTGATTTTTTTGTAGGGTGGGTCTCAAGACTGCCAAACTTGCAATTTAATATAGGACTATTACTTTGTAATGACAATCAGAAGAATAAAATTTCATTTATTTTGAAATATGAGAAACAATGTCAACCTATCATATTCCTTTTTTTGTTTCTTGGTTGTTTCTGAAATGATAACTAGGAATCCTGCATCTGGTTGTTGTTTTTATTCTGATCAGAGAATGTTTTGCTAATGTTCCAAATTTACTTGTTCTACGGTTGCATGGTTTATCCCCTCCCTATCATTGTAGTACAGTAGGTGCACCCAGTTGTCGGACGAAAACACGTTGTGCCCGCGCATGACGTCACTAGTTACATCTGTCACGTGATCCCATAAAGATTCAATGGTGGGACTCGTTTTCGACGTATAATCTGCATTGTGGTGCATATTATATTTATCGTACATACAGGAATATGTGTAGTTGATAGTCCTGCATTGCAAACACTCGTGTTTTTGCTTCTATTAATAGTGAATACCTTTTACTTCCGCTTTCATTACACCGCGAGGATACCGAACATTTTGATTGATTACAAGCCCTAGTCTACTATATTTTCAAACTGTTTAAAAAATATAGGTATATGATCTTCATTTTCCATTTACGTACACGCGCTTGGCGCACCATTTGAACAATACCTCTACTTACATTTTATCTGCTTTGCATTTCATTGTAATGTTTTTGTGCGAGCTTGCATTTGTGTATGTAATATTATATACAGGGTGTTACACGACCGTTCGAAAAAAAAAAATCGGGTTGTAGAGGGCATCAAAACAAGCACTTTTTCCAAATAAATCGAGGGTCCAACGTGTTTCGTTTGGGAGCCACCCCCCAAAGAGTGTTGAAATCTGCCTTTCTTCTTTAATTTTTTTCTCAGCAACCATAAGAGTTACAAAGTCGGGTGGCATGTCTTTGAATAGGTTTTTGGGTATGCTCTTTCCGATTTTGCAATTTTTTTTTCAAAATTCCTACCCCTAAAGGGCGCACCCCTAAACTAGGGTGCAAAAAAAATTCTGATTTCGACGAAATTTGGTATCTGGGGTTTTTTAACATGAAAATCACGAATCTGAAATTAGTTTTTGAAAATTCGAAAAAAAAAGTTCCACTGCAATTCTTGGCGGGACAACGAAAATAGAGATAATTCCACGAAATTTGTTGTGTACATACTAAACGAGTTAAGGAACAAAACTGTCGAACTGTATTTTGTTATTTGGAATTAATTCGGTCATTAAATGATTAAAAAATTCGATGTATCGATTAAAACACCTACCAAGGTATCTTAAAGCGCTGATCGATTGTTTATTATCTAAATAAGGTGGGGGAAAAGTTTTATTCAGTTGAAGATAATCTTAAAGGTCACGGTTCATTTTTTCTAGAAAACATTTGGCAGTTCTGAAAAGAACTTTTTTTGTTTTTAGTGATCAGTAACGGACTTCACTTCTTCCAAAAATGAAGCGATATGCTTATGCAACATTTTCAAAAATGCCACCGCCAGCAGCCACGCACAATCTGCATCTCCTTGGAACAGAATTTGACGACTTCAAAACCATCATAGGATTGGTTTTAATAACTTCTGAAGCTGCCATCACGCGAGCAACCAGTTCTTCCACCGAATCGATTATTCCATTTTCGCTATACACTAAATTTTTCAGGTGCCCCCACAAAAAAAAATCTAGTGGCGTAAGGTCGGGCGATCTCGGTGGCCACGCTACTGGACCACCTCTTCCGATCCAACGATTGGGGAAAGTAGCGTTCAAGTGATCGATGACGGCACGATTGAAGTGGGGGGGTGCGCCATCATGTTGGTACCATAGTCGTTGACGCAGTTGCAGCGGTAGCTCTTCCAAATAATCAAATAAGGTTTCTTGCAAGAACCTTAAATATTGCTCTCCATTCATTCGTGGAGGCAGCATGTACGGCCCTAAAAGATGCTGTCCTACAATTCCTGCCCACAAGTTAATGGAGAATCTCCATTGACTTCTTATAGGAAGGACAGCATGTGGGTTCTCGTCTCTCCATTCGTGCCGGTTCTTAACATTAACATAGCCATCTTGATGAAACGTGGCTTCATCCGTAAATAAAATATGTAGATGAATGAAAATCAGGGTTCCCACGACGACGTCTTGCAATGAAATGGCAGAACTCTACTCTAAGACCATAATCCGTTGGATGCAGCTGCTGTACTTTTTGAATGTGGTACGGGTACAGTAGTTGTTCTTTCATCACACGCCATACAGCGACGTGGTTCGTACCAGTTACACGTGATACAGCCCGTGTGCTAGTGGAAGGATTTTCCTCAACTTCTTGTAGGACCTGCTCTTCGAATTCAACATTCCTACCAACTGGCCGTGCCCGTGCGGCATAACTCAGGGATCCTGTTTCTACTAAGCGGCGATGCACCTCAGAAAACACTCTACTACCAGGAAGCCTTCGGTCAGGAAATCTCTCTCCGTACAATCGTCGAGCCTCCAAACAGTTTCCATCAGCCAACCCATACATGTAATGAATGTTTGCCAATTCGAAATTCGAATAGTTTCTATCCATCTCGAATAGAACGGAAGAAAAAGAACGCAACACAAAAAACGACGTAACTGACGTTTTACAATAAGGACGAACCTAATAAGTAAACATTCCATTGTTTTTAGGTAAATTGATAATTGGAAGAAATAAAAATAACAACTAACTTCACATTAATTTAATGTACCTTTTCGATTTGTCCTTAAAAGGAGCGTGTTCTTTTGGAAGTTATTTTTCAACCTAAGATTATGAAAATTTTTGATCATAGTGAAAAAGTATCATACGGAAAGTGATTTGACTTTTTCCCCTACCTTATTTAGATAATAAATAATCGACAGCGCTTTAAGATACCTTGGTAGGTGTTTTAATCGATACATCGAATTTTTTAATCATTTAATGACCGAATTAATTCCAAATAACAAAATATCGACTCAAACCGTTAATCTTTTGTTTTTGCGACATAGTCAACCAACACATGCGAAATTATGGCTTACTAGTAGGCTTGGGACACTTCGCGACCCGAAGGACCAACATTCAAATGAGTATAACTTTTGTTTGAAAAGTTATTTTAAAAAACTGTACGACAGTTTTGTTCCTTAACTCGTTTAGTATGTACACAACAAATTTCGTGGAATTATCTCTATTTTCGTTGTCCCGCCAAGAATTGCAGTGGAACTTTTTTTTTCGAATTTTCGAAAACTAATTTCAGATTCGTGATTTTCATGTTAAAAAAACCCCAGATACCAAATTTCGTCGAAATCAGAATTTTTTTTTGCACCCTAGTTTAGGGGTGCGCCCTTTAGGGGTAGGAATTTTGAAAAAAAAATTGCAAAATCGGAAAGAGCATACCCAAAAACCTATTCAAAGACATGCCACCCGACTTTGTAACTATTATGGTTGCTGAGAAAAAAATTAAAGAAGAAATGCAGATTTCAACACTCTTTGGGGGGTGGCTCCCAAACGAAACACGTTGGACCCTCGGTTTATTTGGAAAAAGTGCTTGTTTTGATGCCCTCTACAACCCGATTTTTTTTTTCGAACGGTCGTGTAACACCCTGTATACTCAAATAAACCTAAATTTCACCGACAGATACACAATAGTGCTTTTCCGTAACCTCTTCCCCATTGAATTTAAATGGTGATAGCCAAAAAACACACGAAAGTGGAAAGTATATCGTTTCACAGGTAATTACAGATTAGTTTGTGGGCTTTACTTTACCATATACAATGACTTTACGATCATTATTATCACTCCTCATTCTTTCTTTCTCTAAGGTTTCATGGGTATGTATGAAGCAACTTTAGTTGTAGAGTAATTGATTTGTATGACTAACGTACCATTGATTTTTAAAATTTGGTTTGGCATTGGCACTAGTCATCTGACTCAATGTTTTTAAGGTTAGAGAATTGTCAGAGCCAAATACCTTTTTGGAAGTTTTAAGCCAAATTGCTTTACTTTTGGAAAATTGAAATGCCGAATTTAAATATTTATTAACGTTGAGTGATTATATTCACAGGTTATAGCTATTGAAAATTAATTTTGATTATTCACAAAATTTGAATGTCTTCCATTAGGTAGCTAGAAAAATGTCTGATTATTTAAAAGTTGGCCAACGAGTTGAAGTTAAGGACCGCGATGTGCAGGGCGTAATAGCTTTCGTCGGCCCGACTGGTTTCGCCACCGGGACTTGGATCGGTCTCGTCTTAGACGAACCTAAGGGAAAGAATAATGGCACTGTCAAAGGACAACAGTATTTTAAGGTAACTTAACTTCAGCTATGCGTTAAATGAAGTCTTTATTGAATAGTGTGAAGAAAACTATGGCTCATTTGTACGATTGGGCCAAATTATATTTTTGGATGATGAGGGGAAGCCGATTCCTGTTGAAATCACCAGTCCCGAAGACAGCACTTTGGCCAAAACGCGTGGTCGACAAGCGTAAGTGGTTATCTATTATATTATTAAACTTTCATAATGTTCCCTACTTTTATGCTAACTAGTATTGCTGCAAAACCTAAACCTACCACGTAAGTTGCTAAACATGGTATTGATTGTATGCTTTCATCAGATTTTACAATTTTCATGTCCATTCATTTTCATTTAGGTACTTACCTATAACAATTGCGAAGATTGAGGGGTTGGTGCCATCCTAATTTTTGACTCGCAACTATTTAAACTACACTGTTGTTACATTTTAAGGTTGGCTTAAAACCCGCTGTAGCTCTTTATTGGCTAATGTTTGATGTTTCACATGTGTAACCCTAGATCCACATGTAGTATTAGGCCGGATGTCCACCGCATCGGAACGACCAAGATCGGTGCGATTTGAATCGCCCGATAAAGATCGCGCGCGTGTGCTCCTATTGAAGCCTGTCCACAGGCTCGATTTTTGTCGGGACCGATCGAAATCGCAACCGACTATTTTCGCCCGACCCGACGTTCTTGAACGATCATTTGTCGGCAGTCGTGTGTCATAATAATCAAAAGTGCTGCATTTAAATTTGTGTTCATGATTCGCAAGTTCATGGGCACAAATGAAAGCACCTCTGTTTCTTTTATTAGTTATGTACGGAAGAACCCAATAACTGTGGCGGCGAATTATCTTTCGCCTGTGGTGCAAAAGCATGACAACTGCTTCACTTGACATTTTGTTTAATGTCAACTGTCAACCCGATAAAAATCGTTCGAAAGGCGATCTTCCTATGAACATGAATTGCCAATTTTAGTCGGCCCGATCAATCTGGATACGACTACAGTTGGACCGATTCTCGTCGCCCCGATTCGGTTGACATCCGGCCTTAGTGAATTTGAGATCTGGCACGATTAGAAATTCCAATTCCGCAAGATCACAATATTTTCAATACCTACCCCAATCTGGGGTAGTTTTCGGAAAAAATATTGTTTAAATCGGATAATTAAAAAGCGTTGAAAACCACTAAGATGTGATCATGAGGTTAATCAACACTGGTTGGTATCGTATCAGCGTGAGTAAAGTATTATAAGCAAACTGTAAAAAGCTACCCTTTGTTCTCTCAGACTCATACAGAACCATATTTTATGTTATGTGACTCTAATCTATCTAATCTTGTAGAAACACGCAAAAAAGGACTTTTAGCTGCTCTCTGAGTCTCTTTTGTTAGGATGGTTTCTTGAGACATTTTTTTTAGACAGATTTCCCGTATTCCTGTCCAAAACGACCAAATGAGTGATATTTTATGTTTAATACAGATAGTAAGCCAACTGGTTCGTGCCATTTCTTGATGGTGCTAAAAAAGATGTACCGGAATATGCTGCCCCCTGGTTCAGAGTAGCTCCTTAGGTCTTAGGAAAATACATTCATTATTGACTTTCCAAGATCACAGCATCGGTTACTTCACCATCGCTGTCATATGAGGAAGATGAAGAAACTGTTTGGACCTGTAGGGTATCTGTTAGTCCCGGTGATATTGTTTGGTTCTCTCTTGCTCAGTCTGGGGTTGCATTAGAGTGGAATATCAGGAAATCTTAATCAGATTCACAGTTGGTGGTATCAGCTGGGTTAAATTTGTAACGTTCCGTTGAATGTACTCTTTGTTTAAGTAACTGACTGAATGCGCTCTTAGTGCGTTAGGAGTAGTTGGTACCATTGGCATTGAGATTATATCACCTTTGATTTTGTTATTGAAATGGCAGGTAGAGCTTTGCGAAAAATGTTGATTTGAATGGGAAAATTCCAGAGTCATCACGATAAAATTCTTTAAATTAACTACCTAAGCGTCTTCACGCGAATGGCGTGGTGGCAGTATCTTCTTTAGGTAAAGTTTTCATAGAATTCCTTTTTGAGAACACATTTCTTTTTAGGTTATGCCATACGGTTTAATTTAAATTACCTATTTTTGTTTTACATATATCGTAATCCGAAACCCATTTATTAATGGGGTACGTAAGTTCGAATTAATTGGAATTAGGTCTGATTTTGGTGGTGTGGTTTTTGGATGTATTTCTCTTTGTACGTTATGAGCATTGGGGTGATCATATTTAAATAAGGACCGTGTTCTGGATGAAATGCAAACACCCGGTTTCGATTAGATGGAATGGATCTATTACATTGTATCTAAGATCAAGGAATCGCTAAGCAAATGTTATCTCAATTACCCGAAATTGCAAACGTTCAAGCATTGTATTTAATAAATACAATGGTTCAAGTAACCTGTTGGTAATCGCTTTTGACGTTAGTTTATCTCGCTGAAATTATCTAAAACGTCGATATTTGATGAAATTTTGTCTAAAAAGTGCTGATTGCAATAACTACCTACCTCAAGCTATATGAAGCCAAAGAATCACGCAAAAAATCATATCTCGAGAACGAAGCGTTTGCGGACCCACGTTCATAGGATTTTTTTGATATTTTCATCTAAGGGCTAGATAGTAATATTTTGTTCCTTTCCCTGTACATGATACGCGTACATAGGTATGGACTTATTTTACTATATGGCAGTGGTTCTCAAAGTTGACTGAGTTCTGACCCATCTAACAAAAATTTCCAATTTTGGGACCCACCTCTTAACTTTAACTAATGTTATTTACATTTTTAGGAATTATAAAATTTATCACTTTGTATTTCTTTATGTCTGTCTTATACAGTAGTGAATCGCCCATTATGACCCATTCAATAATAGTTTGGGAAATATTGCTAATTTTTGTTTCATTTTCACTATGGGGATCTTCTAACCCGTAACAGATACAAAGTCGCTTGAATGGGTAAAGCGAGGGGTAAAGTTATGCTGAATTTTATGCTGATAAAGGTGGGTCCAGGTGAAAGGGAAAAACAACGCAGACTAAAAAATCTTGTTCTGGTTTTGGCAAGCTAAAGAAATAAAATACTTGATAGAGATAGAACATAAAGAATAATTGACGTCACTATCGAGGTGATTTAATCAATGATCTCAAAAATATTACAAATAGGATACTGTAATATATTGCTGTGTTTATTTCATCTGGGAGGATGACATTTTCGGACATGTTAATTAAGATGGACAAGGGCGATTTCCTTTTGTGTAATTAACATTCATAATTAAATTTTATTATTTGTCGTTGGTCTATGTAACAGCATGGAAATTATTGTCATACGAGAAAACGGTCGAGGTTGTTTTTGTTTACTTTTTTATTTTATTTAATGTAGAAATTTCTGAGAATTGTGTATCAGTCTTTATCTGCTATCAATTGTAAATGCTTAATTTAATTGACAGGTGGATGTGATTTATCGCCTTTTCTGTGTAGTTAAAAGAGATGAATTTTAATTTTTCCTAGAAATTAAGTTTGGATTTCTGTCTTAATGTCTGATAAGAAATTGTTTAGTAAAATTATTCGACCTCTATTATTTTCGTCTATTAACGTAAGTTGAGGGAATATTTTCTGTTGTCAACTGCGTATGATTGGTTGTTATAATTTTAAGAAGAAGGGTTTCGCTTTAAATAAGACGTGAACAGGGATAGCGTCGCTTTATGCCGCGTTTAGGGCCATAGTGCGGTTAATTTAAATTGACTTTTTGAGTTGAGAGCGGGACTACGTTTCATTTTTTGCCACGAGTCACGGCCAGCTAGTTTTCATTTGAAGTCGCGGCCAGTATTAAAAGTATCGTCTAAAGTGAGTTTGAAGATTGAAGAAGTTTAGTTTGTAAGTGTGTTGTACAACGTGACTCATTTTGAAGTTGAGTGTGTTTTTTGATTGGAACGTCCTTGTCTACCCGTTAATAATAATATGCTTTTGTAATTAATAAATTTTTTATAACTATTTTGAAGTCTTTCGGTGGCAGTTTGATTAAATGTTTGGGCAACTTGTTTAAAAGATTTTATCGAAAACCAGTATGTAATCAAACGTTAATGAAGGAGTCGACGAAATAAAAAAAATTACGTTTGAATTCTGGTCGTAGCGGCCGTAAGAAAAGCGCGTACTGCAAATCTGTAACAGACAAAAACACAAACAAACAAACAAAAGGAGTAGTGAATCGCGCTACACATAAAATATTGCGAAATAGCAATGCTAACGTATGACACGGAGACAATCGGATATAAAAACTGTAATTAATACTCAATAAGGATCAATATTTCGAATGACTTTTTTACACTAGCAAAAGTTTTGTTCGACCACGGATTTCTCGTATAATATCAAGTATCAAAGCATAAACGTGACGGTAATTCAAGAAAAGCACTTTATGATGCACATATAACTAATTTGAAACAAATGAAAGAAATATAACTGCGCGAGCAAGATAAACCTAAAGAAGGGATAGAATTAGGTGCAGAAAGTTACACAGCGTGCGGTCTATCAACAAGACAAAGAAGTATCGTATAATAAACTTATAACACTAGGATTGTTCTAACGACAAAACAAAGAACTATATGTAATAAGGAATCTATACTAAGACAATAACAAATTTACTACAGGAATTAACTTGCATCTAAAACGGATTACAAAGAAGATACCTAGATGGCGTAAGGATACTAAATTTAGATTATGAGCAAAAAAATTAAATAAAAGTACGAATCGAAGGTTACCTAAGCGGAATCTAAATCAGTAAAGGGAAAAAAAACGGTAACATAATATAAATTGGAATTTGCAAACGAGGGTAATCTAATCGGGACACGGTCAACTCGCCAAGGGCGACTCGCCACCGGACCACTCGCCACCGACCGACTAGCCAATGAGACAACACGACAACTCGCCAACGGGACAACTCGCCAATGCGACAACTCGGCAACGGACAACTCGCCACTGCGACAACTCGCCAACGAAATATTTTCCTGTTTAATGTGTCATACAAATGCATCCCACAAATGCAATAGTCAATTTCCCTAATTTTGTAAAAAAAGTTTATCGAAAAATTGTAGACACGACACATTAAACAGGGAAAAATATTTCGTTGGCGAGTTGTCGCAGTGGCGAGTCGTCCGTTGGCGAGTTGTCGCTTTGGCGAGTTGTCCCGTTGGCGAGTTGTCGCGTTGGCGAGTTGTCCCGTTGGCGAGTTGTCCCGTTGGCGAGTCAGTCGGTGGCGAGTCGCCCTTGGCGAGTTGACGCGTACCGATCTAATCGTTGATTCTAATTGCCTGTAACTGATTGTGTCCAGACTGACCTCAGCTTTGTTGCCTATCAAATTTGCCTAATCTACTTCACTGCACTATTACTTGTACAGTATTCTCTTGGATTTTCTGTAAGAAGTAATATAGACATTATACGTTGTTTTACTATTGTGCGATATTATGGTGTGTCAACCATAACCGTAAGAATTTGACTGTAGATTTAATATCGTTCACTCAGGCGCACATGTTGCAATTATCACATACAGATATTGAACATTTTAAAATAACGATGAAAGCATTTAATTCTTTGTAGTATTTACAAAATTTCATTTCTTCATTTTGTATCCTTTGCTGCTTGGACAGAGTGCGAAGAAAATCTCCTCAAAAAAGTATATCTTCATTGTCAGCATCGAGGTACACCTTTTTTATTTATGTAGAATTTTTAGCACAGTACGGCTTTCTTATTTAATCGTGATGGAAAGTATGAAGGTCTAAAGTAAAATCTACTTTTGATGTTTTCATATTGTCATCAATTTTCAATTTGTTAGTAATTTCACCTATTGATTTGTAACTTTCACAAACATACCTTCAGTTTTTATTTTGACTATCTCACCATAGAATAGGCTAATTTGCAATGCTCGAGTATCTACTGATCAGTGAGTTACTTATCATTACTAATCTAGAGATTTTCTAGCAGCTCTCGAATATCTCTGGCAAGTAGTCGGCAATCTCTAGCTGGAAGTCGTCAGTCATTAACAGGTAGTCGTCAATCATTGGTCGACAGTAGAAGTTACTTGGCATCTCCTGTTGTTGAAAAGTCTGCAGATACTGAGCAACCAAGTCAAATACCAAAACGGGCATCATTCATAGAGGTGTGTGTGTGTGTAGTATTTACAATAAAATCTCGAGAATTCTCAATTTCAGACTGGTTTTGTGGAAACTTTGAAACCCCAATTTACCCCGGGTCAAGTTATTACTAGTACCGCTCCTCCGAGTGGGGTCGAGGAAAAGCTTTCTCAGTTGCAGTTACAGCAAGAAGTTGACAATCGAAGTTTGCAAATTAAAGATCTCGAAGAAAAATTGGAGACCTTGCGCATTAAAAGGCACGAAGATAAAGAGAAATTAAAAGACTATGACAAACACAAGATTCAGGTATGTTGGTGGTAGTTTTCGACTCCGTTGATTGATGTTTGTCACTTTGCAGTTGGAGCACTTGCTCGAATTCAAAAACAAAATCATGGAGTCGCAGGCAAGTCTCCAGAGGGAGTTGCAAAAGGCAAAGTTGGAAGCAAGAGAGGCGATCGAGGCGCGAGAGCTGCACGCGGAGGAAATGGCGGATCTTGCCGACACTATAGAAATGGCGACGCTCGACAAAGAAATGGCGGAGGAAAAGGCGGAAACGCTTCAACTCGAATTGGATGCTTGCAAGGAAAAGCTGGAAGAGGTTACCTTGGACCTGGAAATCTTAAAGACCGAAATGCAAGAACGAGCAGGTAAGTTGCATTACAGTTGGAACACTTAATCACAAATCCATAGGAGGAATATCTGGCGGTGAAGCGTCGCCGTCGTCCTACGACTTGAAACAGCTCACCCAACAAAATGAGCGGTTGCGAGAAACTCTCGTTAAAATGCGCGATCTCTCTGCCCACGAGAAGCACGGGAGCCAAAAGTTGATTAAAGAGATCGATCAGAAAAATTCGGAAATAGCAGAATTGGGTAGGACGAAGGAAAAATTGAGTTCAAGGGTCGAGCAGATGGAGCAGCAGATCGCCGATTTACAGGAGCAGGTCGACGCCGCTTTAGGCGCCGAGGAGATGGTAGTTATTTTGGGAGATCAAAAGTTAACGTTGGAGGACAAAGTGGTGAAACTGGAGGAGGAAATCCGTGAGCTGGAGGCTTTGCAAGATATGAACGACGAACTGGTTGAGAGTAATGCGGAGCTTGAAGCAGATTTAAGGGAGGAGTTAGATCTGGCTCATGGTGCTACGCGTGAGGTAATATACGAAATAGTTTTGGTGCATTTGCATCGAACGTTTGCAACATCATTTGTTTAGATATTGATTCTTGACAATTAGAACGCACTAGCATTGTAATTACACAATCCACGCGTTGTCAAGATCATTTTTAATTTATTAGCCCGGTCAAATAGACGTAAAAATACTGATCAAAGAACAAAAACTCCGACAGCTGAATTTTGGTTGAGACCTTGGGTACGGTATTAGAAATAAAGGGCCAAAAGTCCGAATAGATATACTATGTGTGCTAAAAGTTATTCAAGGTCAAAGGTTCGATTTTTTGGATTTTTCTCGACAACTGTGACTGTTAGCAAACATATAGTTCAGACAAAAATTGTAGATCACAAAATTATATATAAAAATAGTTCTTATACTTTTTCTCATAAGGTATCGCCGTTCTAAGGGTTGAAGGATTTACATTCCACATGATATGCGTACAAATGCCACGTATATACACAGTCAGGCACTTGACAAATAAAAGTGCCTATTTGTGTCTTTTATACAGTGAATTTTTTTTAAATGCGAACATAGGAGTTTGCATGCAATGTAATTTCCCTATGTTCGATTTAAAAAAAAACACATCAATCTATAGAGTAGTTCAAATGAGTAGTAGATACAATTGACAGCTGTCATATTTTTAAAAATACAGCCGTCCAATTTAATTACGAAATCGGTTAGGTTATTGCTTAGAATGTCAAGGAGGACACTTCGAACATTTATTGTAATTGTTTTCGGTATTTATTTTCTTATTTTTCATTTATGTATTGAATAGATCAAATTAGTAGAATACCAGGTGCACATGACCTACAAATAATTGAAGGTTGGTTCACAATGAGTTGTGGTGTCAGTGCGTGACCTGTGAGATCAAGTGATCGTAAGCTTAAGAAAAATGTATCCTAAAGTTGCTATGGCCACACATGGCTTCTTTAAAAAAATCTTACCGAGTGCTCTTCATCATAAAGACTATGACTTGTTATTCATAGTCACACAAGTTGCGCGATTTGGGAATGTGAACCGCGCACATCTCATAGATTGATGTGTTTTTTTTAAAATCGAACATAGGGAAATTACATTGCATGCAAACTCCTATGTTCGCATTTAAAAAAACCTCACTGTATGTACTTATGAAATATACAATTCAGAGAATATACACTCAAAAGATACTCAGTCCTTTATCTACTACCTGCAGGACCGCGCGATTTCTGTAAAATATTACAACCGCTCTCTGTTTCACAGGTACAATACATTTACATACAATACAAATATAGCAGACCGCACTCTCTCTGGCAGCCTTCACAGTTATTAGTCGTGGAATGGAAACTTTGATTGATGCAAGTATCAAAAGAGCTTATTTTGCGGCGATGAAGCGGATGAAGATCCTTCATCGAGTAAGAAGAACGGGAAGAAGAAATCTAAGAAGACAGGACTGTTGAAGTCAAATTTGAAGAGTACAAATCAGATTAAAATATTAACAGAAATCTACAGTTTAAACTATCATCTATATAGCAATTTCAAAATCAATAATCTTCATGCTGTAAGTACAGTATTTTCCCATAAAAATCCGTCATAACAGATCGTGAATAGGCCTACCGGGGAAACCACGTTAAAAAACGCGCCAAGTATACTACCTCACCGGCGGCGGTGTGGGAATGTGTAGAATGTAACTCCTTCAAAGGGCAATATCTTAGGAATGGTGATTCTTAAAGAAAAAAGTATAAGGATCATTTTTGTAGTTCATTTTATGATCTACAATTTTTGTCTGAGCTACATGTTTAATAAAACCTACCGGTTTCGAGAAAAATCCAAAAAACCGAAAATTTTGACATTTGATCTTGAATAACTTCGTTAGCACAGATGGGATCTATGGGTACTTTATTTCTACTGGTGTACCCAAGGTCTCTACCAAAATGCAGCTCTGTCGGAGTTTTTGTTATTGGGAATGTTTATTTTGAGCGAACTATATTACTTGGTATGATCTTATCATTCAGAACGTTCCTTTGATGTTTCTTGTCCCTGTTCGGAGTTGTAGGTGAATGGGGCATTAGGTCGTTGTGATATTTCCATGCTATAGGAGTGGTGGTGTTCCTACACTATGAAACAGCGGTAGGTGTTTAGGTCAATACTATTGACAGCGGTACAGCAGGAGTATTTCCACGCTATAAGAGCGCTGGTGGTCCTGCACCATGGTACAATAAGGCAAGGTATGCCTATAAAATAGAGGTCTCCAGATTTTTCAAACTTAGGGCCACATTAATTGCTATTCAATTTCTCAAGGGCCAGAACATATCGACATCATATTTTCACCAGTATTCTTAAATTAACCTGCAATCAGTTCTGCAGACTTTGTTAGCAGTCAAATGATGCGAAGCTATATTGGCATAGTACTGCTAGTGCCATCTCCTGTTTGTATCTATATCTATATAAACTTCTGATCGGGCCAATTGATAAAAGTAGCTACAACTTTCAAGTACAGCCGACCAGATTTTGGCTTGCTGGCCGTAGTTTGGAGAGTCCTGCTATAAAGGAACGCAAATTCAAGTTTGCGAAGATGACGTATTTATTCCAATGACGTGACAAGAATCACCGCCAAGTTTGAAAATACCATAGGAATTAGAAGTATTGCGTGTAATGAACCAATAAAAAACACTGGTCACATTTGCAATCCTTGGAAGTCTCATGTGATCCCAAAAATTTATATTGCTTACAAAATTACATTGGCTACATTTTAAAGTTGCGTGTTTTAATAAGTGGGCAGAAGTATTATTCTATTATTGGTTGCGTCTACACCGGGCGCATTTTAAATCCTTGGAAGTCATATGTGTTAACAGATGATTTTTAAATTTGCCTTTACTATTTGTAGCATAATTGCTACAGTGGGCACATTTTATGTCTCGTTTTATATCTATGGAAGTTTTGTCCTTCTATAATAACAAATGGGTTTTGAAACTGGATAATTGGTTGTGAAATCACAGTGCACATTTTACAACCCTGAAATTTTTGTGCATTGACATATGCTTTTTATAATTATAATTAGTTGCAAAATTGCACTGGACACATTTTAAATTCAGAAATTTAATCAGATTTGTAAGTTCTTTTTGGTGCCGCTAGAGGTCTCATTCTTATTTGGAAACGCGAAGATTGTTATCACTTTTTTTTAATCATTATATATTATTATATATTAATAACATGCAATAATTGATACTTTGTAAGTCTAATGTGAGAAACTTGACGCAGTTGACTGAACAAATCTTATATCCGTAAAGGCGATACACTTTTATTAAGCGGTAGGACTACACAAACCCTGTTACTTTATTGAGTAGTGGTAAGGCGCCGATTCAAACTCTTTTATACCTTGTTTCTATGGTGAGGTATGTCCACGTGACTGATATCGAGTAGCACGACATTTCTTTGGTGCAGGCATGTCAAACTCATTTATCCCCAAGGGCCATTTTAAGGTTTCCACATACAGCTGCGTGCCATATAAAAAAGTTCAGGTATGCAAAATAATACAATAAAACGAAAAAATACAAATAATCATAAAATCATGAAAATATACCCTGCGTGCTATTTTGGTTGAGACTGCAGAGTATCTCAGCTGTTTTTAAAGATAAGAGACGTGCGGTTTTCGGGACCCTGTGCCATTTTTTTGTTAAACTTAATATCACAAACAGAATCAATCCAACTAAGTGCGTTTGTTTCTTATTAGATGCAGGGTAAAAACGAAAAGGTTGACTTTTTAGGATGTTATCAATCATACGTTACTACCGATGTACGATAGAAAAAAAGGTAAAACTGTCTATTTTAGATATTTTTACGAAAAATCCAGTAGCGTAGTAAAAAAAAATTGAATTACCTTTTCTGAGATTGGACCCAAACTTGATATAGTTAAAATGCAACACCATGTAATTTAACGTCAATTTTTTGCTTTTTTTTTCCGTGATTACATTGATGAATCATCCTATATTTCTTTAAATTAAATATCATATTTTTCAAAATGACATGTTTCTACCGCCCGCTATTTTTATTGATTGACATCGGCTGAGTTAGTTACCATGGATACAATAAAGTATAAACAGAACAAAATCTCTATGAATCCATGGCCTACTACTTAAAAAAGTAAAAAATAAGGTCTCAACCAAAATAGAACACACGGTACAATTAAATTTTATAATTTGCAAACATTGCTATGGGCCGCGTGTTTGACATGCCTGCTTTGGTGGGTGTAGGTCAATGGGTCAATGGGTGACATTCATAGAACAGCTGGCGGTACTGTTGCCTTGACTGTTTTGTTGACGTTTGTAATTTTAACTTTTGACAGTCAAATTGTGTCTCATCGGATAACTTCGGAGGACGGGTATATACAGGTCTCGAAACCTTGTTGTTTGAGATGAGGTTCTTATGTGTCGTCGCTCAGCTACTGGGTGGCGCATGACTCGAAGTATTGTTTTCAGGATTAGGCGCCCTATCGTATAGCGTACGTAGAACTCTAAACCGCAACGACGCTGGTTGGATAGGGACATTCAATTAAAACATCGTTAAATCAACTTTTAGGAATTGCATATGTCGCAAGCATCAACTTTTCACACATTTCCACATCTTTTGGCACTTTTGTATATGGCAGTGCTTTGGACAGACTCGTTTTACCCTGAAACTCACATACACGGGCGATGTCATATTTTAGATGGAATTAGTAGCACTTTCTGTAGGTTAATTGGTTAAAGCAAAGCAAATACCTTAATATATTAATACGGGAAACTGATGTTGAAAACCGGGCGCAAATACAGCGCCACGACATTGCGGTAGGGAGTGTCAACAGTAAGCTGTCATACTTGGTTCAAACTTTATTGATGGTTTTAGTGCTTTATTATTGTTATTGTTATGGATAAATTGATAACATTAAGGTATTTAGCAATATCATATATCTTAGATGTTAAATAACCTTAGTAGTACAATTAATTTGCTCCTTAATTTTTCGTCATTCTACACCGAGCCGCATAGGTGGCGCTCTTTTTCGTGTCGCAGTTATGTCGCAGCTTACGCAAATGCAAACAATAGCGAGTTTCCTGTATTAATATATTAAGGTATTTGGTTAAAGCATAATATTTCTTACTCTAGGTATTCTGCTTCTCATTAATAGATGTCTCTATAGTTTTAGTACGCCTCGATTCCTTTTTGGTAGCATAATCTTTGAGTTTTGATGAAAAAACGCCATTCCAAAGCTTCTAGGAATCGCATCACTGAAATTCTTGACGTAGGATCTCACGTGGGTCGCGTTTGTATCCTATTCAGGAATACTACCTCTGATCAGTATCTCTTAGGTGCAACCTTAGACTAGATTTAGTGAATGGCAGCTTTGCACTGCTTTTTGAGGAGCTTCAACTTCCGGCGTTGAGTCCCGGATAACGTTGGCCGTGAAGGTAATTGTTTTTCAATTCTCTTGATCCCGGAATACGCAGTGAGATCGGCGGAGTCCTCAGCTTCTTCCGCGGAGTTGGTGTTTTGTTTATCTCTGTCTGGTCCATAATAGCCACATGAGCAGCTGGGGAAAGGCAAGAGAGGGACAATAAATAAATAAATTGGGTTAAAAAGTGGACTCCCCCCGCTACTTTTTTGACGGAAATACACAGTTTTAAGCACCAAGAATCCGAATCAAACAATCTTGTTTGTGTCAGTTTGTACTGCCAGCTAAACAGTGCGAAACGGAAAACTTTTGCGCAAAATCGCGCATGCGCGGATGGCATCTGTACTGGCCACAGCAATTTTGTTTAGTTACATACCCGTACAAATTACTTTCCATTTTTGGAACATACATAAAAAGTTTTAACTTTTAACTCACATCGACTCGTTTGTTTAGGCTTTACGAGATCGTGACGCTGCGTTGGAAATAATATCGGATCGAGAAGTGACAATAAGTAAATTTCGGGAGTTGGTACAGAAACTACAAGAGCAATCGCAAGATCTCCAGAGTCGCCTAGAAAAGGAAACGAGTCGACCTGTATCGGCGCTGCCAGAAATTATGGACTTCAAGAAAATGTTTACTGAAACTAAAGCGCACACCAAAGCAATTGATTTAGAACTGAGACGCATTGACGTGCAACAACTGCAGCAGCAAGTCAAATATTTATCTTCATATTTACCCGATACATTCATGAATAGGGGAGGTATGTTTTTGTTTATTACTCGTCAATACTATTATTTTTTGCAGGTGACTACGATGCAGTATTAACATTATTATTAATACCGAGGCTAATACACAAATCGGAAATACTCATCAGTCAAATTTCCGGTAAATTTCCTCCAGTTGAAAAAATTGATCGTGTCGCTATTCTGAAGGGCCACACGGTTGAGCAGTATGCATTCAGATGTCGATTTGTTCATTATATTTACGCGCTGCAGGTAATTAGTTGGGAGGTGTGCATAAATTCTTCTCCAATTTCACGTTTCAGACAATTCTGCACCAGTATCAACATGCTCTAAATACGTGCAAATCAGAAGTGCTATTAAAGGTTGGCGCTTCTTATCCGGAAATAGCGGCGCAAGAGAAGGTTATCGACGGTTTCGTTGAACTCATTAAACGCGACCAATTGGACGAAAATATTCATTCGGAAACTATAGAGAGATGCGTCAACTACTTTAACACTTTATACCCCATTCTTTTGGGGCTAGACAGTCACCAGAATCATACAGTTTTGTTAAATGATAACATAAGGGCGCTCACTTGCGCCTGCGAAGGCCTAAATACCGATGCTATGGTCATTCGTAATTTCTCTGAAGTAACTTTGTTTTGTATCTGCGAAATGTGTTTAATCATCTATGTTTTAGTCTTCCAACATTGGAGATATTGCTTTATTGATGCAACATGTTATTACCACCGTCGATCAAATACAGCAATCTTTAAAACAAGTTAAACGGAAACTACCACCCGATCCCAGTGTCACTAACTTGGGTTTGAATAAAGAAATTGGAGAGAACTTGTACCAGTGTTATTTGCATTCAAGGAAAGTCATGAAGACTCTTAATGATATTGTAAAGAATTGCATTGTAACAATTGCAGGAGGTAAGTTTTGTTTTGTGTTTGTAAACCTTTATCCAGTATCGCTGACACAGTGCTTATCATAGTCCAAATAAGACAAAAGAATACAAAGTGAAATGTGGCAATGAGTTAGCTGTACTACTCTCTAGAGAAAAATTAAATTTGAATCTATGTGTGAATCTGAATGTGAATATGAAGAATCTTTCCCTGAAACTTAATCTTTAACTAGAGCTTTAATCTGAAATTGAACCTTAAAAGAAACTGTATGGTCACTTTCGATATCGAAGTAAATAAACCCCTAAAGCAGATCTAAAAAAGCGGGAAAGTACCTCAGTGTGACCCTACTGGGTCATTGGATTTGACTCATTTTCAATAGGCTTGTGACATGTGGCATATAGGGTCAACTGCGCAAAGTCTGAACCGAATTGTTCCAAGCGCTTGACAGTTATCGTGTTCACGGACAGACGGTCACCATAGATTCCCCTCAAAGCGTGCATCGCTTTGCTCTGTCGCTTAATAAACACGTAAATTTTTAAAGGCCCGAAAGAGATCGATTCCGATTTCGTGGACGCTGTTAAGGTGCAAACAAACATGCGAGCATGCCGCAAATCAAGCATCGAACAAGCGGTTCGCATTAATCAGGGGTTTTGAGCGGCGAACGAGCTATTCACGAACCGCTCGTTCGACGCTCGCGGCGATCCATCTCCTGTCGGTTTTTTGAGCGAACACAAAGGGATTCGTATTGCGCTCGCAACGCCGTTTGGCTTATTTTTCCGTGGTTCGAAGCTGTGTGTACACGTACACGTACACAGGGCACGAGCACCGTAGACTAATTGGTACAGGTTTGGTCGCTGTTCGCAGCGAAGTATGTTTATCCTACGGCTCGTTGCTCGCTTCTCATTGCTCGTCGAAATAAAAACTTAAAAACGAACTAAAAAACAGTTCGCGAACCGCTCGTTCGGTGCTCGATTCGCGACATGCTCGCATGTTTATTCGCACTTAAGGTTTGGATTTGGAGAATATAGGCAACTGGTGATGCACATGTAATTAAATGGGGCGTGCTTTGCCTCTGAACTTCATTCACCATTTCATAAGCAAGGGGTGTTAGGCTGGTCAATCTAAGCAGGTTTATACAAGTGAGGTAGAAAAAATTAGTAACAAAGTGATCTCTGCGGAAATCAGTACTCAATAGGGTCCTTATTAACCCCTCAAAAATTGCACGTTGTCGCATTAGTGGAACTTGGGAAAAAATGACCGCCATCTTGATTTTTTTCGAATTTATTAAATATTTCGTAAAGTATACATTGGCCCGTATGAATAAAAGTAAGCAAATGCTTATACTTGCAAAATTCAAAGTAAATACTCGTAAGTGCTCCTTCCCACTGGGCGACTTAGCAGCGCTGCTGAGCAGCAGGACAGGACGCAGTGCAGTGCTGCTAAACAGACCTGCATGAAGGGGCAGTTACGAGTATTTACTTTGAATTTTGCAAGTATAAGCATTTGCTTATTTTTATTCATACGGGCCATTATATCAAAAAAACTCAAGAGACTTTTTTTATGGAGAATCAAAAGTTACCTATAATAAAAAAAGTTTAAGTCTATTGATAAAAAAATTATTGAAATTTGTATGATTTGGGTAATTATCACATCTGTGTCGAGACCAATGATATTCTTTATTCATTGGTCGAGACTTAGATATATTTCAAGAACTTGCATGATGCAGATATAGCAGTTTTAATTAAATCAGGACTTAAAATTATTTTAAATCTGTACTGGTGTCCAAAGAAGATTCATGATATTAACCAGTTACGTCACACACTATATATGCGAATGACTTCAAGGCAAAGCTTAAATTCAGAAATGTGTTTAGTCTCACTACCACCAACCGAAGAAGCTGCCAAACAGCACATTAATATCACGAATCTTTTTTTTTTTTTATTGATGTCCATGTGAATTATTTGGATATATTTAATGTAGCAGGCACATAGAGGGAGGCAAATAATTGAATGTTTTTATTTTCTTTAGGTTATCGATTTCGAAGCTCACTTCATCATATATCAGACCTTGCTAAAATATATAAACGACTCTAGTGAGCCGATAACCTAATGAAAATAAAAACATTCAATTATTTGCCTCCCTCTACTTACCTGCTACATTAAATCATGAATCTTCTTTGGACACCGGTACAGATTTAAAATAATTTTAAGTCCTGATTTAATTAAAACTGCTATATCTGCATTAAGTTCTTGAAATACATCTAAGTCTCGACACAGATGTGATAATTACCCAAATCATATAAATTTCAATAACTTTTTTGTTTTTTGATCAATAGACTTAAACTTTTTATTATAGGTAACTTTTGATTCTCCATAAAAAAAGTCTCTTGAGTTTTTTTGATATAATGTATACTTTACGAAATATTTAATAAATTCGAAAAAATCAAGATGGCGGCCATTTTTTTCCAAGTTCCACCAATGCGACAAAGTGCGATTTTTGAGGGGTTAATAAGGACCCTATTGGGTACTCATTTCCGCAGAGATCACTTTGTTACTAATTTTTTCTACCTTAACCACCTATTTTGACTAGCCTATGTATATGATCGGAAAAATATGTATTAGGTAGATAGATGTACAGAGCATAGTTTCCGTACAATATAAACTGATATTTTGTCCTTTAATATATGTTTAATAAATCTAGAAAATATTCGTCACATTCATACTTTAGGAATTAATTGCAAAAATTAGGGAGCATTTTAAGCAATACATTGGGATATGGGATCGGTCAAGGTTGTTTTATTAGAAAGGTTGTCTGGTAACTCTAAACCAATAGAATGCTTGCATTTTGAAGGCGAGAAAACGTCATCCAGAATACACATTTAAAATTGCTCATAGGTTACAATGCTAATAAAAGGGGTAAAAAATTTAGTTTTTGCAGTATATTTTTGGATTTATATGGGTATATGTATATAAGGGTGGATCTTATATTGGAAATCTATTTTACATTGCACGAGGACTTGTGAAAATGCAATCAAATTAATTTTAGAGGTGGAAATGGATAAAATTCCGCGATCTACAAAATAGGAACCACCCTTATGTACCCATACCTAGCCTTTGGGAATTAAAACTCTAAACATTCTTTAGCGGATGACGCCAAATAAAATGCTGTTGCGTTTTATGGAATATGTATATTTATAGTATGTACAAAGTGGTAGATTTAGATTTAGATTTATTTATAATTCCTTTTGACAATTATCGATATTGTATAGGAAGCGTCAAGTATAGGTATATGACAAACAATTAATGAGACAATAAACTATGACAAACAATAGATACATAAAATAGACAATTCAACATACTACTTTTCATTACAAAATTTGAAATATTCAGCGATGGAGTAAAAACAATTTTCATTTAAGTAACTTTTAAGTTGACATTTAAATTGCTGCAGGTTACAAGAACTCTTTATATATTGCGGTAGAGTATTATATATTTGTGGACCCAGGAACGCAGGAGTGTTGCGATACTTTTAATGTTGCTTTTGGGAGATACAGGTTGTACCTGTAACCGAGGTGCACACGGCGAGCTCTGTCGTTGGGATGAACCCAGATGCAGGTCTTCTGACTGATGGAGTGTGGCGCGAGGTCGCGCTGGCAAGGCGACCTGGTTCTGCAGGTGGAGAGCTTTTTGTTTCTTGAAGTGCAGTGGAAGCAGAAATTGCGTTGCACTTTGCAGAGTTCGTGTCTCTGCTTTTAAACGTTTGCAGCCAGGGACACTACTTTTTCATCCGTTGGCCGTTTTGACCAGTGGGAGCCCAGCACATTTTAGTTTGCTGCCGGATGTGAAACATTTTCTTACCCATTCTTTAAGAACGGTAGGGTCTTTGGGAAACGTAAAAACTGAGATTTTATTTACACCAGGATGAGGAATTTTAGTGTTACCGCCACTCATCTAAAAAAATACTTAACATACAAAAGTGCATATAATTGATGAACTAACCTTTCAATCACGGCTATGAAAATCCACAAAATTCACAAACTAAATGTCTTTATATTGCACCAAACAGGTATCTACAGCTAATATATGTCCTTATGCACTTCAAAATTTAACAAATTTTAAACAAATAAACTATAACTCAAGAAAAATAAGCACCTGCGCAACTACAAACAACGTTGAACTTCAATGTCTGTATTCTCGATGACGTATACATTCCGTCCCTCCCGCTTCCGCCTACATAGTTTCCAGGTAACCTTTGAAATAAAATAACCTTGGGGATCGGTAGCGTGAATACTTATCTATATTTTGGCAATTCATGTGAAGCTCAGAAGTTTTCATAATAAAAGAGGTGAATCAAGTTCTTAATATGGGCATGTAGACTGGCGAAATGGTAATAAACTAAGCAGCTGTGACTAATATCGTGGTCAACAGTGTAGCTTCTTTCTCACAGAGAGTGCCACCAAAGAGTTTTATGAAGTCAGTAAAAAATACGATAAAGACATATGAAATAAGCCCTTTTATCTTGCTATGGAGTGGTTCTTACTTAACTAGGCTAGTACTGTGTAATGGGGATAATAAAAGATAAAAATTTACCAGCAAAAAAAATAGCAGGCTATGTAAGTTGCCTATTTTAAATCATTTAGCGATTCTCTTTCAAGGTTGAACAGAGCGTGTAACAGTACAATTTGCTGACAGTAAGAAAAAGATCATTCACTGGTATATTTTTATTTTGTCAACTCCTTGCTTCGATATTTATTTGGTTTCCTATTCATTGCAAACGGTACCTCTACC